TAGATATTAATTATTAATTCGTAGATATTATTAATTCTCTCTGACTCTCTTAGCTGTCTCCAAACTATTATCTCCAGCTCCTTCCACTCTAAATCAAATCTTTTCCCTATCCTATTTATTAAAAAAAAATCATTATATAATTGTCACAAAAAAGGCCTAAAAGTTGTTTTGGCTTGGATTTCAGCCCATTCTTGGATACGTGGTAATGAGTGTGCTGATTTCTTGGCTAAGAAAGCAACAAGAACAGGTATCCTCTCTCAGTACCAAATTTTCCCCCATGACTTGCTTCCACTAGCAGGATTTGACTTCATGGCATCTTAGCAAGGTCTCTGGGACCAAACTAAAACCATAAAATGTAAACGCTACGCCCGGGTTCAAGACACAATCCCATACAAACCTTGGTTTTTCCATTATCGTGAAGCTAACAAATTTACTACATCAACCATTTGCCGTCTTCGCTTTGGTCATTCTTGCACACCGATACACCTAGCCAAATTAAGGATAAGGGATAATTCTTTATGTGGTCTTGATGAAGGTTCAACCGATCCCATATTTTTCGAATGTCATCGACTCAAGTTCTCCTTGTATGATATCCTTCCTCAAAACATCCCTCGTCCTACTAATTCTACCTGTCTGCTGTCTCTCGTGTTCTCCTCATTTGTCCATATTTTATGTGATTTTATTTATACTAATAGTATTAAGTTGTAACATAAAACTAATCATTGTTGGTGGTAGAATTATAAATGTTTGTGTTGTCTTTTGTTGTAGATTAGAAGCCAATCACAAAAAAAAATTTAAAAAAAAATTATAAAAAGAAAAAGGCAGAACACATATAACCCTAAAGGGGGGGGGGGGTCGCCCTACGCTTCGCTTCACTTCGCCCACCGGTACGCGGCTGCCACTCGAGAACCTTTTGCCCTCATTCGTTGTCAATTTTTGGAGCTATATTCATACCTCAGCAATTATTCGTTTTTAAAGCTTCCGACAAGAATATTTACGATGTATTCATTAATTATGTAGTGGAGGTGTAAGAATATCCACTACCCCATATCATCCCGTTGTTATCATGGTGGTTGGTGATGAGACATGTGGAAAAAACACACCTGTGACAGAGGGAACCACATCAGGAGTTGAGCAGCAGTGTCTTCCTAATAACAATTAAAAATAAAACTGCAGCTTGGCAACTGTCAAATGGCAAATATTCTCCCTATTAAAAAATCTGTGGGGGAAGCTTATGTTCAGCAGCGGACTTTAATAGCTTGTAACGGTAACAGTAATCATTAATCCATACGTATCATTGTCTAGTGAATAAGGATAGGAAATATAATCATCATCGCTTGATTGACTTGATTCTAGTTTTATGTTTTTAGACTTTTTTTAGATTTTTTTTAGACTATTGTTATAGGAATAAAAAAGAAGTATATCAATGTTGATTATAATTATTAACATTGATAACGAAATCACTATAGATTAAGACTAAGACTAAGACTTGTCATGTCTTGTAAAATCATAGACTTAGAATTCCTAAGTCCATGAGTAAAATCGTGTAAAATAATGTCACACTTATTATTACTCAAATATTACTACGTGTCGATGACATTTTTCTGTCAGTGATGACTTATGGAACTGAGACGTGGTCCTTCACTGCTGGCCGTATGAGGAAGCTCAAGGTCGCTCAGCGAGCTATGGAGAGGGCTACGCTCGGAGTTTCTCTGCGTGATAAAATTAGAAATTAGGATATCCGCAGTGGAACCAGAGTGACCGACATAACCCAACTGATTAGTAAGCTGAAGCGGCGATGGGCCGGCCGAAGAACCGACAACCGATGGGTAAAAAAGGTTCTCGAGTGGCGGCCTCATACCGGCGGACGAAATGTAGGGCGTCCCCCCACTAATGGAGTGACGACCTGGTAAGACATGCAGAAAGTCGATGGATGCAGGTGGCTCAGGACCGTACTTTGTGGCTGTAATGATGATGATGATGATGTTGATTTTTAGATACAACATCGAGATAAATTATACACACATTTAAATAAGTTTCTCTTGTTTTGCCACAATTGAAAATTAAATTAAAAAAATCATTCTAGGCAAGATTCCTCGGGGAGTACTTAAAGTTAAAAAAAGTTAAGTTACAGCCTAGATACGTCCCACTACCGGGCACAGGCCTCCTCTAATTTCTGAGCGGGTTTTAGGACAAGTAAAGGTCCGCTGCGCTGCCCCAATGTTGGCGAACTTCATGTGAAGTATATATATATATCTTCGAAATATATTTTTTCTTATTTGTCAGACATGCAGGTTTCCTCACGATGTTTTCCTTCACCGCCGAGCACATGTAAATCAGCACTTAAATTTGCAATTAACAATTTCATTGGTGCCGGCGGGGATCGAACCCGGGTTTCTCGCGTACTGTGAAACTTACAGCGAGCGCTAACCATCTGAGCTACCACTGCTACTTTATCATAAATAAAGTTTTTAGCTTTAGATTTTTTTAATCATAGCTTTTTATTATTGTACATATTTCAATGTTATTTAAATAAATGAATTATCATCAAAATTAGAAAATGCGAGTTATATTTACAGTTTATTAAGACCTATTGTAACCCATATATCGCAATCGAATAACATGAAATTGAATTTGAATATTATGCCTACCAGAACCTTATATGGCATCAGTAAGTCACCTACAGTACTGCACCGCCTGTTAAAGCAAATAACAGTACGACGTGACTGAATTCACTTACGTGACTTAGAATGTTCAACATATTGCTATCAGGAAGTCAGCTGTAAGGTAAGATCCGCCCGCTAAGTAAATAACAGCACGTCTTTTACGTGACTTATGAATATTCAAAATAGTATAAAACCGAGGGTCCAATTGTTAAGACAGCCCAGTAGTAATTAAGTTAGTTTGTAAGTTAGGTAGTCCATTATTCTGTACTCACATCGTCCCAGTAGTAAAGTTAACTTGTAAGTTAGAAAATAAAAGTAATATAAGAAAAAGTCTTCGTCTCTTGCCACTTCAACCCTCACAAAGCTGCCGCAAACGTAAGTTGCGAGACAAATCTATTTATTTACTCCCTTCCTGTAAAATTGTAGACTCCCTCTGTTCTATGCATACATATGTATGTTGATAAAATTATATTATTTATAAATAAAAGTTTTAAATTTTTGAGAAGTTTTAAATTTAGTATAAAAGTTTTAAATAATATTTGATGTTAATACTCTCTTTTTGAAGTGGATTTTGATATGGAAAAGTGGTGCGGTTTTATGTATTAAATGTCTGCGCCTGTAATCCATTAGTGGAAACGGTGAAACATATGCACATCGGAGCAGGAGCAGGAGATATGGATCTCGAGATAAGGTCTGTCTTTTTTTTTATAGAATAGGGTGACAAACGAGCACACAGTCCACCTGATGGTAAGTGGTTGCTGTGGCCCATAGACATCTACATCTATCCTCGTTTGCGAATCAAAATGCAGATGCGTTGTCACCCGTGAGGACTAAGATGGAATCCCTCTTTGCCAGTAAAAAGGGTCTCAGGTTCTCTACACTCACCATACGAAACACAGCAGTGTTAAGCAGCTATTTTACGCTGGTATTCTGTGAGAGCGTGGTCCTTCCCCGGTCGAGCCGATCCATTGGTGTTACAACTATACTACTAATATAGCTACAGCATGGCTCTACTTAGGCGCCTTGAGATACTATCGCCAACTGTCTGCTCGCTCAAATTACCGTGAGATAAAATGAAGACATAACTGAAAAGACAAGCATCCGAGCATTCATAAAAAAGGTCAATTTGACAAAATTTGACAAGTTGACATTGTCACTTGATTGAAAAATTGATTTGTTTTGACCTTATTTTTTTAGGTCATTGGCTCATTGAAATTGGATTGAATTGGATTTTATAATCTTATTTATTCTGTTCTCTTCTGCTTCTGTGAGATTCATTGATGAGAGAAGTAGAGATAAAACCTGGGACAAAACTATTATGTAACCAGTGGTAAAAAAATGACTTTCAATAAGTATTATGTATTGTAATCTATATTGAATAAAAATGATTGTATTCTATTTTATTAATTTTCATTTTCAGTTAAGATACTATCATCGTTGCACTAACTTATTAATCATTAATATATTAAGGCAGGCACAGTTAATTTTTTTTAATAAAATAGTAAGTATGGTATTCTATATGAAAGGTTAAAAATGTTAATTTCTATCTAACTCTAAAACTTAAAATAATGTTTTTTGAGCTTCATTATTTGAAAAGATATTAGTAAAACTGAGAACTACATATTATAGTACTTATAAGTACTTTAACTTCCGGTTCAATGTATAAGATTTATTTCTAATTATGTAGCAGTTACAGTCTTCATTAAACTTGCCTAATTTTATTTTCTTTAAACACTGTAGTAAAATTTTTAAGTGCAACAATACAAATAGGTTTTTAAATAAAAGTAGAAAGTAAATGAATTTTATATTATTTACATTATATTTGAGCTAATAAAATTTAATTAACCATGTGGTGGTGGTGTAACAATATGTTATACCCTTATCATCCCATTGCTGTCGTAAGAGGCAACAGGAAAGCAAACCAGCAGTTGGGTAGCAACATTTTCCTAATAACCAGCCTACCAAGTTTGGCAAATATCCTTGTATGAGTAATTATATGGGAGACTTTTGAGGGGCTGTAATGGTTATTGACAATTCCATATAGTAATGGTGTAAGAATATCTAATACCTCACATTGTCTGATGACTGATAAAAGACAACAGAAGGAAATTGACCAGCGTATGGGCAGCAGTGTCTTCTTAATAACTAGAAAAAAAAACCACAGTTGCCAACCTGCCGACTAAGTACAGCAATTATGACAAATATCCCCCTATAAGGCAATAATATGGGGAGGCTTATTATGTTCCGCAGTGGATTTTGATAGGCTGTATGACTGTGATGAGTAAAGTAATGAATGATAAAATTTAATTATATATAATTATTTTTCTAGTTATAATGTTGCTACAAAGATATTTGTTGCATGCAACAAAACAAATTACATTAAAGAAATGCATATTGCAAATAACTAGGCAAACATTTTGTGCATTCCGTCACACTTATAGCACAATAGGATCAGTCAACAGAAAATATACTGACCGACATGAGTGGGTGGTTGTTGATAAGGATATTGGAACAGTTGGAATAAGTAATTATGCACAAGAATCACTTGGAGATATTGTATTTGCACAACTTCCGGATTCTGGAACTGAAATAATAGCCGGAGATGAATGTGGTGCTCTTGAAAGTGTTAAGGCTGCCAGTGAAATATACTCTCCAGTCAGTGGTACAATTACTGAAAAGAATGGTGATGTTGAAAATAAGCCTAGTTTGATTAATACATCTTGTTTTGAAAAAGGATGGCTGTTTAAAATAAAGTTGTCAAAACCACAAGAATTGGATGAGTTGATGAATGAAGATGACTATGAAAAGTTCCTTAAAACAGATGTTGAGAAGGATCACAAATAATTTTTTTTATACTTAAAATGGTTAATAATTGTTAGTAAAAATATAATTTGATAACTTCAACATGTATTTTGTTTTTTCATTTTTTATATATATATTTATATGTATATATATTTTTTGGTGTACATACTTGTGATTTTGTAACTTTGACTTGACTGGTTAAGGACACATTCAAACAATATATTTCTTTTATCAAAATGATGAGTGCTAGGTTTTGAACTTTGCACCCCTAAACCTAGTTTGCCTTAAAAATAATCCGCCACAGGATGTGATGGTTATCCGACACAACCTAAGAATGATTAGGCATAGATACAAGGTTTTTTGTACATGGTGGAGCCATGCTGCAGCTATATTAGTAGTATAGTTGTAGCACGAATGGGTCTGCTCGACCAGGGAAGGACCACACTCACAGAATACCAGTGTAAAATGGCAGCTTGACACTGCTGTGTTTTGTATGGTGAGTGTATAGAACCGGAGACCCGTTTTACTGGAAAAGAGGCATTCCATCTTAGTCCTCACGGGTGACAACGCATCCGCATTTTGATTCTTTATTGAGGATAGATGTAGATGTCTATGGGTCACAGCAACCATTTGCCGTCAGGTGGACTGTGTAACAAGCACACCCTATCCTATAAAAAAAGGGTGAAACGCCGCCAACTTCCTGACCGAGCTGCTACCGAGAATTTATTGATGGAAAAACCCAATTAATAATTATAGCCCTAACTGGGTTTCGAAGCCGGGACCTGATCCTTAGGTCCCGGCTTCGAAAGCAGTAGTGCTTACGTCCATTAGACCAACGAAGCAGTCAATATTAGGCACAGTAATGAGGAGAAGCATTTCAATTGAGGTTAAAGGTCTGCAAACCCATGTACACGCAGGGTATCGGTATAGTTTAGCCATAACATAGTGATTTTAAGTTCTTTGGTGGCAAAACTGTCAGTCAGCTCATTCTTAAGGCCCTGATCGACGGCCTTTACCGCGTACTCGGCTACTCACCACTAAAGCTCGTTAATGGATCACCGCAAAACTAAAAAAATGTGAGCCAGACATGTTAGGCTCGCCACTTACCAACGCGTTTTATAAAATTTGTTATTTAGCATCTTAAATTAATAGAATCAGGCGTTACTTTGCGGAAATCCATTATATAAAAGCTTTTAGAAAAATTTACTTCGCAAATATCCGCGTTATAAAATAAAATGATGTGTCTTACCTAGTATGAAGAGCGCCTCCCGCCCTCCCTCAATTGCGTGCACTATCCCCGTCACCATTAATCCCAGCACCGCTACTCCCAACACCACTACACTAGGCAAGACACACCACTGACGATAATACAACGTGTTTCGCCTCTACACGAGGCATCCTCAGGTGATATAGACTCTACGGTGGCTAACCGCTAAGATTTAGCATCTTGCAACAACAAACTCTTAAGAAAAACCGTTTGGCTCTAGAACATGAGCCGAGGTCAAATATCTGATCTTGCCTCTGAGGACATCAATGTCATGGTATGGAGGGATAGTAACCGAGTGGCAACTATCTCGACATGCCGTGGAATCACCACATCAAACGCCTGAGGTTACACCAAACCCATCACGATATTGGATTACAATATCATGATGAGTGGCATGGATAAAAAAGAATGTTGTCCATCGAGCGGAAACTAACCAGGACTTGGTTTAAAAAAGTATTTCGGAGATTTATAAATGTCTTTACTCTTAATAATTCATATACCGTGTTATTTTGCAATAACCGGAAATTTGCAGAAAAGGTTCAGAATAAGTAATATAATATGCAAATGGTGAAAAAAATTAATTAAAAAATTTCAAAAATTCTGCCATTTTTATCTTTTAAATTCAAAATGCGTGGTAATGCATTATTTTAACTGATTTTCGCACGCACAACGAACGCGCACATTCGTAAGGGTCGATCGGTAGGCAAAAACGTTGTTGCCCATAAATCACATTCAATTTGGATAATTTCAATTCATTATTTACTTGTATTTTCCAAAACTGCAATAACGGTATATCATTAATTATATATTTAAACTTAAGTTTAAAATTCGGCTACTCTGAAAAACGACCCTGTTTAATACACCAACATTTATTTTCCTTCATCCCACCTCACCCACCGTTTTTACGCATCTTCCTTCTCAAATCCCTCCTAGCCTAACTTCCGGTATATATTACTCTACTCTATGCCTAACACTGTCCTCCTCCTGCTACAGTATTCGTCCTGCTACAACTGAGTCAATTTAACACAACCAATCGCCAAGTACTCATTTAACTTATAGCATAACATAGATAATAAGTACCTAAACTTTACAAAGAAATTCCAAGGTTTTATAAATTCTTAACAATAACAATTTTAGTGTTTATTCTATTGTCTGGAACTGGTTTATGTGAATAATGTAATGCGCGATCATCTGAACTTCGGTGGCGGCGAAGTATGAGAAGTCATTACCCCATTACTTACCGGGGGTATTATTATGGACAATCATAGAATATGTCACAAAAACCTCCACTGATGTTCTCCCTTGGTAGAGCCATGCTGCAGCTATAATGTGGTTGCAGCACAAATGGGTCGGCTCGACCGGGGAAGGACCACGTTCTCACAGAATACCAGCGTGAAATAGCAGCTTATTGCTGCTGTGTTTCGTATGGTGAGTGTAGAGCCGGGGACTCTTTATATGGATGGATGCAAGGATTTCATATTAGTCCTTAAGGGTGACAACACATCTGCATTTTGCCCTAACAACAACTTACCGTCAGATGGACTGTGTGCTAGTTTGTCACCATTTATCACCCTTATTCTACAAAAAAAGATCATTTATTGATTGTTACAGCGCTTGAAAGCTTCTTTTATGAATATTTTTGGCTTGAATGCTTGTACTTTAAGCCATGTGTTCATTTCATTCGGGATCTTCGTTTTTATACAATACACAATATGTCACAATTTGTTGATGCGTCACATTGCGTAGTTTTTGGGAGATTTTGACAGCAACTTGAGCAGACAGTTGGTGATAGTATCTCAAGGCGCCTAAGCAGACAGACATCTTATCTTGAGATTCACATCACCAATCGGGGCACTTGTTTCACCGATTCCACTAATAGTTCATATGCGCAGACATTTAATATACAAAATCGCACCACTTATACAACATATCAAAATCCACTTCAAACCATTATTTAAGCAATAATACAGGAGCAGCAATCCGAAGCCGGTCAATTTCCCGCCAAAACTCCCAACGCTTGAAAACGTATTAAACGATTAGAGTAAAGCCTCCTTATAATGGACTTTAAATAGTTAATGATGAAGACATAGATATTTATGAAGTGGCTTTTTCGGGACAAAAACCTATAAAAAAATCAAAAGGAAAAAAAAGGAACGCACACAATAGGAAAATAAAAGAGTAAATTATAATGTGCACAACATATTTTATCAAGTGCTTTTATTTATTTTTAACCATCAATTGACGTACAATAAACACTAAATACAATACCTATATTAATATAATAGACATGTTACATAAAAATGTGAAGCAAAATCATTTTCTAATTTAAATAATTATCACAAAAATATTATTCACAAAGTAATTTTGTATCTAAAAACTATAATAGACGTTTAATTATTAAAATAAACTGCAACATTGTCTTTGGTGACGCAGTTAAAGTATTCAACAAGATTATGAATTTTTCTTATACATATTATGTCTAAAATGGCAACTTGTCAATCCAATTAAAGAAAATCCTTATCACGGTATATTAATTCGTCGTTAACACCGCAAATATTTTAGACTTAATGGAAAACTACAAATAAGATTAATTTTCTGATGAAAAGAACTAGTAATCGGGGAATAATAAATGTTTTCTTGCTCTCCTGTCATTTTTTTTAAAATTTAGGTTTTTGCGGCGTCCACGACGAATACTTTCATGTCGAAAGGAACTTCCAAATCACTATCAAAGAATAATTGTAAATGTTCTGGTGAGGACCAATCTATCTACTATACTTACTTTTACAACTGAAAATAATTTTAATAGTTACTTACTGAATGTTGCAGTCTTAAATAATATTTGTATATCTTATAATACCAACACTTCGAAATTCAAAGTCTCATAAAAATCTTTACACGCTTTTTAAAATTGACGCGTACTATATTTTTATATAAAATAAGGTTAACAAACGAGAACACAGTCTACCTAATGGTAAGTGGGTGCTGCGGCCCATGCCTATGGAGGCACCTGCACTATTCTCGATTATAAATCAAAATACAGATGCGCTGTCAGTTGTAACCCTTGAGTAATAAGATAGAATGCCTCGTTTCCATAGCATAGCATTAAGCTGCTATTTCATGCTGGTATTCTGTAACAACGTGGTCCTTTTCCGGTCCAGCCGACCCATTCGTGCTGCAACCATAACATAGATTCAGCGCGGCTCTATCACGTTTAAATTTAATAGGAATAAATACTTGCGATTTTATTTATTTACTAATAATTGTCTCATTATTTCAAAACTTTGTAAATGTATGCCACTATAATTATAATAACTTATTATTATTTAATATATTATAATAATAACAACAATGTGACACGATTGAATATATTATGTAATGATGCAGGAAGAAAGTTTTGGCGAGTAAGTATCATATAACTCCAGATATAATTTAATTTGTTAATAACCCATATGGGCTTTGCCTGAAATAAATAAAAATAAACTATACCTATTGTTACAAGTTTTCTTTATAACACTGTCTTTATGTTTTTATAAGACTATAAATTAATTCCGTATCAAGAAATACGAATATCAACACTGGATAGTATACAGATTTGTACATTTACTTATTTTAGACATTAACTGCTAATAACATGGTGACGAGTAAAATTATAAATTTTTTTGGTAATAATAGATAAAGGTATAAGGTAAATAAGTTCTTTGTTAAGATATTGAATCGGAGACATGATTTTGCAGGAACTTCATAAAAATTCTAAATTCTATAATATGAGATCACAGATAGTCTACGACCATAAGTCAAGGAAATTGCGCCATGTTCGAAATATCGATTAGGAGGAATTATGTATTCACCCTCGTGAAAGATCCTACTCACGAAAACCGAAATAAAATACGTTGTGTTTGGTTATAGAGAAAATCGTACACAGACGGTACACACAGAAGCAACAAGTCACTATTTCCAACATCATAATTACAGCCCATCACAAGACCACTGCTGAACATAGGCCTCCCCCAAGGAACGCCACAAAGCACTGTCCTGAGTCACCTCCATCCATCAACTTCCTGCATGTTACCAGGTCGTCACTCCATCTATTGGGGGCCGCTCTATACTTCACTAATTGGTACGAGACTGCCACTCGAGAACCTTTATTCCCCATTGGTGGCCAGCTTTTCGAGTTATGACCAGCCCAATGACACTAGTTTATTGATCCGTCGGGCTATATTGGTTATTCTGGTTCTACTGCCGATTTGCTTATCCTCTTCATAGCTCAATATTTTTATATTTACATTTGAAGATGTTTGAAGACAATATTTTATTTTTACATTTATAGATGTTTTTTTTTTCGAAACTTAGCTTGACTTTTTCATCAAGAACACCTATACATATTATTATGTAATATCAGTAATAATAAATCACTGGACAACCTGTCGATCTGAGGCTTCTCTCTGGTCTGATCTTCTCTCCCTGGCTCCTTACCCCATGAACTAAGTCTCCCTCACATGCTTAAGGTTTCCATGTGGTTTATTGCTATTTTTACTTATTTCATTTTGGAGACATTATATTATATACTATATATATTATATTCATATGTATTTATATATGAATATCCCAACCAGATGAGAATACTATAGAAATATCCTTCCGATTATAATAATTAATTAGTTAATTGAATTCATATTCATATGACAATAGGACCGATTTAAATTATTCTCTAATTGCAGTAAAATTTTAATACCTATATATAAATTTTTTGTTAATTCCTTAATTGACCCTAATACCCCATTTAGACTCTCGCCTCGCGCCTCGCCTCGTACCTCGCCTCGCAGCTCGCGTGTTGTTGCGAGGTAACGAGTGCCTGTTTACACTCTCGCGATGCGTTCAGTTTGCGTTGAACCAGCAACGATGGAAGACGTCGAAATAATAGCGGCATCAACTCTTGCCTTAATAAATATTTATCGATGCTTGACCATTTTAAAAAGAAGGAAATTAAAAAATTTCATAGATTTTTTCAAAGATTTCATAGATTGCTTTTTTCTTCGTAGGTGTTGGCGAAAGGTAGCCATAAGCGAATTCTTTTTTACTTTGAGCTTTGCTAGCGGTCTGCACATAACCTCGGAAATTCTATTCCACGCATCTTTTACTTTTTGGGTATTTTTATGCATAATTTACTTTGCATATGTAAGAAGCTTACTCGAATATGCGAGCTTTGTATGGTCTCCACAATACGCAAAGCATATTGATGCCATTGAATCCATCCAGAAAAAAAATCATTAAATACCTAAATTTCAAAATGAGTCCAAATTGTGTTATCTACGAAGATAGCTGTCGTTTTTACGGATTTCTACCATTAAGAGATCGACGCGAGTTGCTAGATATGTTTTTTTTGCATAAATTGCTCACAGGTCAAATAGATTCTCCGGAGCTGCTATCGATGATATCGCTTAATGTACCTTCAAAGCGCACTCGTCACACAAATAAACGTTTATTCCATGTACCTTTGTCGCGTACCAGTTATTCATCAAACTCAGTTCTGTCTAGGATACTACATAATTACAACACGAAATTTTCTGATATAGATCCCTTTAATTCGACCACATATGGTTTTAAACACGTCGTCATCAAAAACCTTATGTAACATCAATATAGCATGTTAATTTATATAATACTAAAGCATTTTACACACACATACGTCCACACACACTCTCTTACAAACGCATATACACACACACATTATGTATATATATATATATATATATATATATATATATATATATATATATATATATATATATATATATATATATATATATGTATATATATAAAAATGTGTATATATATATATGTGTGTATGTGTGTATATATACACATATTTTTAAATTACTCTTTCTGCTCGTACTCTTAAGTTATGATTTTTAAGTAAGAAAACTGTAATTAGCTTTAATTTAAAACTAAGTAAAGGTTGTATACTACTATTGTAATCATGCCGTAGTTTTCTAATAAATAAATAAAATAAATAATATGTTTTGGATCCCAAATTATTCGCTCAGCCTGATAGAGTTCCAAGAACTGCAGCGTTTCTTCTTGCGACTAGTCCATTTTTAATTGAAGTTGAACGTGTAAACCCAACGAAACAACACAACCTGCACGGAAGGGCGCCGTAAACAAACTGAAACGAGAGCGCGAGTGTAAACACCACGCTTGCGTCCCTCGCGAGGCCCTTTGCCTCGTGCCCAAAAAACCGCCTGGGGGACGCTCGCGCCGCGAGTGGCGAGGCGAGCTGCGAGGCGAGCCACGAGCTAGCGTTTACACTCGCGCCTCGTGCCGAGCCTCGCGACTCGCCTCGTCGCTCGCGCGAGACTGTAAATGGGGTATAAGAATAAATTAAAAATATAACAATAGCATTTTCACACACGTCAATTCCTAAAATAAATTAACGGAAGCACCGAAAATTAAGTGAGGTAAATATTTTGTGAATGATAATAAATAAACACCTCCTCAATAAAGACCTCCTTATTGGCGTTTCTTCTTTCGATTGGCTTTTTCATTTCCTATAAACAATCTTCAACACTGCTCTTAACTTTTTTATTTCTTTATGCTTTTATTTACATTTAACAGATATAGTAGTATCGTCAATGCGTCTTATACAAAACAAATACTTGTTCCGTGCATGATTCGAATCCGTGAGCCCGTAGGCAAACAATTTGCAGGTATCGAGTTATTATTATGTAGCATATTTATTGAAGTTTATTTTAAAATAACAATGATACATAGGAATATGTATAAGATAAATAAATTATATTGTATATTCCTATATAATTGTACTTTGGAAGATTTAAATGGAGTAATATTATTACCTTACATAAAAAAACTTTAATCCCTTATCATTAAGCACACTGTTGTTCAATATAAGTGACTTATTTAGTTCCAACTTTTGGCATTTTATCCTGGATCGTCCATTGGATATGAATGGGTTCATTTAGAAGCAGCATCAGATTATATACAACCAACATTTGTGTTTTGCTCGAGTATGTGAACTCGCAGACGGGTTTCTTGCAAAGAGCCTGGTTGAGGGTTACATTCTTCACGGAATACTTCTGACCGAGGATGGTGACCTTGTTTACTGGTGGCATACCATATGCCCATGACTGGATGGTGCTTTTGAACTCCTGCTTGTCCAGTGTGAAGTTGACGATACTGTATTTGCTTTCATCGTATGTGCCTGTAATCAGTAAATTGGAAATATTTTAGATATGGCCGAATTCAAATAAGTATTAATATAACGATCATTGGATATATGATAACACCATCATTATTTAAATAAATTTAAGTTTAAAAACTTTCTACTTTTACTGCTTCTTATGATATTTATATACGTTAAAATTATACGCCCTAGACGTCTAGAGATAAGAATTGAAGATGGGCCAAATTAAGAGTACCCTTAACCGATGAGCGTAGGTATATGGATGTGAAAAAAGTAAGAGAGGTGTCAGGATTATGCCATATGATAATCTGTTGTCTGCCTACCCCTCCGGTAACAGGCGTGAGTGTTTATGTATGTGTTATGTATTTTCTAATGAACATCAGTCTATACAAATAAATAAAATTGAAGTGTCTGTTTGTAATATCAAAATAGAACTTTTTAATAAATGCATATGAAAATATATGCGGTACCTACTTATAAAAAAAAACAATTTGTAAAATTTTTGTCAGTCTGTCTGTTTGTTCCGGCTAATCTCTGACGGTACTTTCACTGGCAGATAGCTGATATTATAAGAAGTAACTAGGCTACTTTTATTTTAGAAAAAGAATTAGGGTTCTGCGCAAAAACTTAAACCCATGAAATTGTGAACAAAATGTGATTCAAATAGGGAAGTGTAATTATAAACTACTAAAAACTATTCTATGTGAACGAAGTCGCGGGCACAGCTTAGATAATAAAAGAAAAACATACACAGCTTCAATTCTTATTGTGTTATTGTTGAAAAATAAAATTAAAATCGGTCCAGTTTTGGAGGAAGTAACATGGAAATATGAGACGATACATCCGTAGTTTTCTTTTTTAGAATTTTATTTATTTAACCTTTGCTGAAACTTACAAATAGTATTGACGGCTTTGTGGCGCAGTGGCATAGCATTAAGTTGCGGCGCTGAAGGCCCCGAGTTCGAATTCCGCAAGGAACAAGCATTTATGGAAAGTATGGCGGCCTACAAATAACTGTTTCGGGTCCGGATGTTTGTCCTTGTGCAATTTGTGTTTGTAAAATGCCCCCACGATACAGGAGAAAATCCTAGTGTGAAGTTTTAACGTTTTTTGAAGGGACTTCTTTAGCATCGTTGTGATTTGAAACCAGATGAAACGAAAAAGCGACACTACAAAGAGAAACGTATACATGTACAGGATTTAGCCTGCGAGAGAATAAGATAGAATACAGTATAGTAAGCGACAGTAGTCTAATGACAAAATGCAGACCGCAAACTCAAAAGGTTGTGGGTTCGAATCCGACATTTTTTTATTTTTAATCTTATCAATAATGGTTAAAGGGAACTTAAGTGAATGTTTAATAGCATTGCTACTATTTTTTTTTATTTTACTTATTATTTCGGTCTCCTCTTTGTGCAGTGTTTTAAAGATGATTAGTATAAATTGTAACAGTTAAAATAAACAGTTTAAAAAATTAACAAATTTATTATATAAATTAAATTAACCATATTGAATAAATTTATTTTAATATACCAATCAATTTATATCATTTTTTGTACCTTGAGAGTCCATGAAATTTAGTTCGATAAAAAGACTTTACCTATAGAATGAAGTAGATGGCGCTATTACAAAGCAATTTGATTAGAAAGAAAATATTCTTTTGTTTTATACCACTAAAATTAAGTGTAAAAATAAAGACTGTAACATTTATTTGCTATACAATTAATCTTTTATCTTATATTTTAGGCCGCATTTGTGGTTGAAAATCATCATATTAAATAAATCATTTGCCGAGAAATATTTTATTTTATATTTCATTTCATTTGAAACTTTCACTTCTATCGCGTGTGATCCGCAAACATGTTTTTTAATGAATAATTAAATTAATTAGTTAATATAGAATCAAACGGCGGACTTAATAGGCACGATCATGAAGCAAATACAAAGAGGATGTGTTGTTGTGTGTGAATGTGATTTCACTATGTAACAACGCGTGAGAATTTGCGGGGTGAGGGGATGTTAAGCCCCGCCCATTTTACACTATCTACATCAACCGATAAATAGTAAAACTACTCGAATCGTTCTATATCGATGTTGCAATGTAGTTTAGCTAACTTGACGATAGATGGCGGCCTGTTTGCAAAATGATTATAAACTATAAAAATAATATTTTGGCGATTAAAATTTCTTTATGTCTGAATGCAAAACAAATTTCAGCACCTTCGTATGATTATTTTACCAATACTTAAGGTACCTTTATATTTTTAGTTCACATAACACAAAGTGTCGCCATCTAGTGTCGAATAAATTTAGTTATATTTGAAAGCCGACGCAGAGATTTTTCTAGAACTATTTTAATAAATTTGGTGTAAAATTACTTACAATTGAAATATGATAACATCCATAGCATCAGAGCGTCTATCTGAGTAGTTTTTACACGATAAAACACAACACTTCATCCTTTTCTTTTTAATACTACGAAAATACACCTATTAAATACGTGTACGTGCATGTGTACATGTGCGTGCATGTGTACGTGTGCGTGAATATGAACGTGTGGGTACGTGTACGTGCATGTGTACAAGTGCGTGCATGTGTACGTGTGCGTGAATATGAACGTGTGGGTACGTGTACGTGCATGTGTACGTGTGCGTGCGTGCATATGTGCGTGTGTGTGAAGGTATCAGTACGTACTCAGGTTGGTGCCGTCGTCCCAGTAGAGCGCGGCGCTGGCTCGGCCGGCGCGGTCGGGCGCGGCCAGCAGCTGGAACGGCCGCGAGCGACACAAGCTCGTACTCACAACGCCCTCGGGAGGCTCTTGCAGTGTCAGTATACCGCCGCCCTGCAATTGTACATAAAAATAAAATACTAAATTACATATACAGTGTTTATGCCCAAATTTGGTCATTTTTGAACGCCATCCAATTGCGTTCGAGCTGGCGCGTCACCCGATGGTATGTAGGTGAAAAAAACGTCGCCAGGTGGGTCGCCCGTGTGTGGCTTGCAGAGTGGCTCAACACGTGGGCGAAGAGGGAGTAGTTCGCTGGCCGCGATGCGGGGAACCCACGTATTCACGCGACCGTGTAGGGTCCAGATAGTTTTCTAGTGCGTGTTACTTCGCTACGTGGATATGTGAATTTTGCAATATTTAACTTGTTCGAGTGATGCGGAATTGTACAAGCGCGCGTCGTGTAGATATACGGTCTAGGATTCGAACCACGCATTCCTGGGTCGAGAGCGTCTCCCGGTTGATTGTCTGGAAACCATTATAATTGTGCCGTCGCGTTAAGTGCCATTTTTCTGTGTTGGTTGGTTTGTTAGTTTACGTGTCAACGAGGCATATTTTGAATTCTTTTCGCGATATGGTGTTTTGGTGTCGAATGAAGGAACTTAGTTGTGTTTAACGCTGAACCGTATGACTCATTAAGAGATCGCGTTAGATCCCTATTTATAATTTTGTGATAAGTGAATCCGGGACATTGAATGTCGAATTTTGAACTACTGTCCTTACTGTGTCGGGTATCACGTGTTCGATTCTACGATGAATGTGGAATTAGGCGAGTTTGAGTTAGTTAAATGTAAAATGAAGCTAATAGACTGAAATAGTGACAATGAAGAAAGAAATGGTCCAGCGGTGGAGCCTGCTGGAGCGATGCAGCATTGTGGGGCAGCCTGGAACTCGGCCGCTACTGGTCGCCTAAGATGATCCAGGTCTCAGACATTTACACATCACTAAACACTACTTGCCATGCACCTTACACCCACTTACGGCCTGACCGAGCCTTGGGGCGATCTAAGAGTCGGAAACAGGTAAGTACTATATTTCCCTAGCCTTCTCCCATATAGCTTAGTATGATAGGACATTCTTCCATATGGCCATTGGGCCCGACATGCGTCTGCCCGTCGAAAAAGATGCTATGGGCCCCAGGCAAGACGACCTTTGCAGGGGCAGCTGTAGGCCGTAACATACAGGGTTATTTTGCAACATACATATGACCAAATTTGCAGAGAAAATTCAGAATAAGTAATATAGACGAAAAAAAAAGAAAAATTAATTAAAATATCTCAAACATTCTGTCTTTTTTATCTTTTAAACTCAGAATACGTGTTCATGCATTATTTTAACTGATTGTCATTCATCTATAATGCGTGATAGAACAAGTTGCCGCATTCGTGGATTAACGTGTCCTCCCCCTCTCTTTGAACCTCGGATAATCCTATAATATCTCAGGGCAACTTGTCTATCTCTTCTTCCAGCTTCAGGATCTTTTCGTCAGTCCTCAGGCGTGCGTTATATGGTGCGGTATATAATATGTACGTATGTATAACTAGGTATGTAACTACACCATCGTGAAGTACGGCACCTGTCAGCGTTGTTAAGTTTGAAATTTGTCCGCCATTGTGAGATAAATGTGCGTACGTAAAACTTCATTATTTATTAAATCTGTGTTTAATAAATAATAAAGTTGTTCATAGTTCTAACAATGTTTAGTTTCGATTCACTGACCCAATATAGTTGTTATCCTTCACCGTCGAGAACATGGAATATGAACACTTAAAATTGCAATTGTATGGGATCGAAATTGGATACCTCGCGTAACGTGAAATTCACCCCGCTAGCCAAGCGTGGCAACTATAGAAAATATCCCCCCCAGAGACACAAATATGGGGAGCCTAATTCAGTATTGAATAAATAAATGAACTGTTGCTCATGCCAATATTTCTCGGGAAAACGTCGCCGAGTATCGGAACAAACTTGTGTCTGAAGTAGAATTTTTGCTGACGTGACGTGCAGTTTTGTGGTCACTTGGAAGAGAAGGCCAAATTGGCCACTAAAAAGTTTGACGTTCTCAGCAGAGCGGCACAGTATTTCATGTCGGCACACCGCCTGCAACTTTACAAGGCGCAGGTTCGGGTTCACATGGAATACTGTTCCCATCTCTGGACAGGGGCTCCCCAGTGCCAGCTCCTTCCACTTGACCGCATCCAGCGCAGAGCGGCTCGAATCGTCGACGACCGAGTTCTTTCCGATCGGCTCGATTCATTGGCACTGCGAAGAGATATTACATCCCTTAGCATTTTCTTTCGCATTTACCACGGGGAGTGCTCTGACGAATTGTTCGGATTAATGCCAGCCGCCAAATTTCGCGAACGCACATCGGGGCAGAACTCCCGATACCATCCACACCATCTGGATGATTGGCGGTCCAATACTGTGCGATTTAGAAGATGTTTACTTCATCGCACAACTTCCTTGTGGAATCGATGACCATCAGCGATTTTTCCGGACCGATACGACTTAGGGGCCTTCAAGAAAAGAGCCTACTCCTTTTTAAAAGGCCGGCAACGCATCTGCAATTCCCCTGGTGTTGCAGTTGTTCATGGGCGGCGGTAGTCACTTACCATCAGGTGAGCCGCATGCTCGTTTGCCTCCTCTTCTATAAAAAAAAAAACTGTTAAATTTTAGGCGCTTATCCACTGACCTGCCATGGCTATAAGTAAAATAACAACAGCCTCCTATATCCCACAACTAAGCAAAGGTCTCTTCTAACAGAATGTAAGAGTTGCCATGCTGTCCCAATATTAACTAAGAAATCTGGTCACTAACCTCGGCAGTATTGTGTTACATACACTAAAAACACACAAATCATTGATAATTCATCCATCCACTTATTCCACTTCTTATAGAATAAAGGTGACAAACAATCACACACAATGCACCTGACGGTAAATGGTAGCACTGGCCCATAGACACCTACATCTATCATAGATTAAGAAACAAAATGTAGATGCGTTGTCACCCCTGAAAACTAAGATAAAATGCCTTGATATTAGTAAAAAGAACTTCTGGTTCTCTACGCCCATCATATGGAGTACAGCAGCATTAAGCTGCTTTTCACGCTGGTAATATGTGAGAGCGTGGTCCTACCCTTATCCAGCCAACCCATTCGTGCTGCAACCATAATTTAGCTACAGCGTGTCTCTACCACATTTTTTTTTGAAATCTTTAACAAGGTAAAATGTACTCAACACTGACCTTTACCGCTATCATCTGTCCATCGGTGACATTCCTCCAGCCACCAGTGGACAATAGTTTACCATCTGCCAGGTTGTACCAGGGCTGCTTGCCTGGGAAGTATGCCCGGGCAGTCGTGGCGCCTTGCCATAGGATAGGAGATATCAGCAAATAGGGCCCGATCATGAACTGCTCGTCTATATCATGCGTTGTCACATCGCTTGGGTCTCTGAGGAGAGAAAATGATATTTGACATTTTATATCGCTAAACATACTATTAATTGTTTGTTCTGTTTAAATACTATTACAGTGGAATCTCGATACCGAGAACCTCGTTAAGTCGTTATTCTCAGTAAGACGAAAAAAATTGCCATTACCTTCCGCGGGAAATAACATTTTTTTCGAGTTACAAAGTCCAAATAATTCAAGTTACCGCGTATTTCGGGGTTCACTAAATACGCGGTAACTTGAATTATTTAGACTTTGTAACTCGAAAAAAAAATGTTATTTCCTTGCGAGTTTGATAGTACATATTATTTCTATACTATAACTCGAATTTCAAAAAGCAAACTTTGTAAATCGAAGTTATTTTTCCGGACCGATACGACTTAGGGACCTTCAAGAAAAGAGCGTACTCCTTTTTAAAAGGCCGGCAACGCATCTGCAATTCCCCTGGTGTTGCGGTTGTTCATGGGCGGCGGTAGTCACTTACCATCAGGTGAGCCGCATGCTCGTTTGCCCCCTCTCCTATAAAAAAAAAATAGTTAAATGACATCTTACTAGGAATTTCCCAAATTCATAGCAACAAGATCCAAAAGAAATATTTCTTTTGGATGTTGCTTCAGTTCTATTGTATGTACTTTTTATATGTATGTACAATGAATACATTAATTAAACTTTCTAAGTGACTCATCTGTGTACTGTATGTTTGTTTATGTTTGGGTAGAAAATCTCGAAATTCTTGTTAAGTCGAAAAACTTATTAACACGATTTTTTTGGCATTTCTCTTGAAACTCGAGTTAACGAGATTTTACTGTATTATAAATATTAATAAACCATTTTGTCCTAAAAGTTTACTACTAAATTTACTATTAATTCCTTTAAATTTTCCAGGCCATACAGAAATCCCAAAGAATGTAAACAACACAGAAAATCACTATTTTTCACTAATCATTTATGGATATAATCCTTATACTAACATTTCCATACAATACACTACGTAATTTCTTACACATATTGATTTAAATCAAAGAGATTTAATAACTTTTTAATCATTATTTAAAACAATATCATTTGCTGTATAATCTGCTGTAAGGAATTGTCCGAATTAATTCCAAAAGCTAAATTCCACCATCGTTCACTGCGACATAACTATAATGGCATATAATGGTAGTCCACTATTGTGCGAAAAATTTTTTGCCACGCACATTGTGTAATTTTCTGTATCCAACAGTTTCTCCGGACCGATATGACTAAGAGACCTTCAAAAAAAAGAGCCTAGTCCTTTCTAAAAGGCCGGCAACGTACTTGCATTTCCTATAGTGTTGTAGGTGTTATTAGGCAACGGTGATCACTAACTGAGCCGTATCCTCGATTACCACCTCTAAGTATTATAAAAAATCTGTGGGCAACCTAATGTTATATATTTAAAGTAGTACGCTAGTTGCGGTACCGCTTCAATTATTGATCATGTGATTGTTTAATTGAATCGAATGGAATCAGTAGTATGATCGACTAATTTCGATATGTATATTATTTAGTGTAAGGCATTTCGAATGTATACTCATATGTATCTATGCATATACCATGTAGTCGCAATGTAACAGTATCCACTATCCTATATCTTCCCGTGGGTGTCGTAAGAGGCGACAGAGGGGATCAATTTAGGAGATGGGCAAACTAAAAATAAACAACTGCGGTGCTCAACCTGCTTGCCAAGCGAGGCAACTATGGCAAATATCCCCCCCTATGAGGAGTATGAGAATTTATGGAGGAGGCCTATGTTCAGCAGTGGACTTTAGTAGGCTGTAACGGTATTACTTAGTAAATTAATTATAAAATAATTATGTATTATTTCTAAAATTATTAAAAACAAAACAATCAATTTTATTCACAAAAATAAATAATAGAAAGTGAGGTCGTTATCACTTCTAATTATAATCGTTGATTATATTAAATTAAAATAGTTTTAATTATCTTCATGCCTGCCTCTTTCTGTGAAATGGCAATAATTTAAAGAGAGATGCATTTCTTATATTGACTTTGATTTTTATGAGTAAGCTCGTGAATGATTATTAAATTTTTTATCGACGGGAAAAAGTGCCAAAGACGCAAAACATCTGGCACTGCGATTATCTATCCGTCTGATAGGCTTAAAATGATTCAGGAATACCCTCCTTACCACGGGAGGCTCACGTCGAACTGTGGACTTTTATGAATTAATGATAAATAAGAACATTGTTATAACATTTTTTTATAGAATAAGGGTAACAAAGGAGCACACAGTCCACCAGATGATAAGTGCATACTGTGGCTTATAAACATCTACATCTATGCTGGGTTAAGAATCAAAATGCAGATGTGTTGTCACCCCTGAGGACTAAAATGGAATGCCTCGTTACAAGTAAAAATGGTCTTCGATTCTCTACACTCACCATACGAAACAGAGCAGCATTAAGCTGATATTTCACATTGGTACTCTGTGAGAGTGTGATCTATCCTCGGCGAGCCGACCCATTGGTGCTAGAACCAGAATACAGCCGAAGCATGCCTCTACTAAGTATAAAAAGTTTAAATTGTGGCGCGACGACAGCGCCGTCACATCAATAGATTTGTGCAGCAGCAGGAGAAGAGCGCCAGCATCTTCTTACTAAGATCTCTGTCGGTGCTTGAATACACTACGCGCCTGTGGCGAAAAAATATCAATGCGCGTTTTTCATTTCTCTCAAGTGTTTTGTAGTTTTTAGTGGTACTGTAAGGCTGCAACTGTCAGGCCATTGATCGCTTCTTAAAGTAAATTATAATTTAAAATTTTTGAGAGTTTTATTTCATAATATCTCCATCTCGACTTGACAAGCTGAAAATAAGTAAAAATCTGTAATGTCCCAATAAATAACCCATCCGCCAAGCGGGGCAGGCATGTATCCCCCTATGAGGCAATGCATAGGGAAGACCTATATGTTTAGAAGTAGATTTATGATTAGCTGTAATTAATGAATGAATATACTAACTCAAATAGCAACGGCCTGGCCACCAGGTCTCCATGCATGTGCGCTTTCCAGAACAGGGTGTAGTAGTAAGGCAGTAGGCTGTAGCGCATCCTCAGTGCTGTGCGTGAAGCCGCCACTACTTCTGGTCCCATACTGACCGGATCTTGTGGCTGTAACAAATATGTACTCATAAAGAGTAGGAACAAATATGGGTTGATAGTATTTTAGGTATTATATTTAGTCAAAAATATGCATATATGGCAATGAGGGCATCCACAATATCATCTGTCACCAGTGTGAATAAGCTGTAATTATTAAAGGATTTCATGGATAGGAAGTTCAGTTGTTAGAGAAATAAAAAGGTTACCTAATGTTTCTTTCTGAAACATTTGTTATACCTTTATATTTTAGTTAAAGAAATAAACAAAAAATTAAAAAACAACAACGAAAGCATTGGTTTGTGTAAATATATAGGTACATATACAATACATACATGCGTGGTAGCCATGCTGCTGCTATATTATAGCTGCAGCACGAATGGGTCGGCTCGACTGGAGAAGGACCACGCTCTCGCAGAATAAATTTAAACAAAGCGTAAATTAGTAGCTTAATGCTATTGTGTTCTTATGGTGAGTGTAGAGAACCGGAGACCCTTTTTACTGGAAACGAAGCATTTCAGCATTCATAGTCCTCACGGGTGACAACGTATCTGCATTTTAATTCGCAGTCGAGGATAGATGTAGATTTCTATGGGCCACAGCAACCACTTACCATCAGTTGGAGTGTGTGCTCGTTTGTCACCTTTATTCTATAAAAAAACGCATTGGGTCAACGTGGTAAACATTTTCTTACTGTAACTTTGTCTAAGCGTTTTTTTTTCTGTTATTAGAATACGTATTATTGTGCATTATGTTTAAAAAATTCAAAAATTAATATTCACCATGGAAGTGTCAGAGTTATGATTCCTGGAGAAGGGATAGAAGGCGCCAACTTGCATCCATCGTTTGCACAACTCAACCGTAGTGTTGCCACGGAAGCCACAAATGTCGGTGCCCATCATCGGAATGCCGAAAATGCTAAAGCTGAGGAGTTCTGATAAAAAACACATTATATTTTAATAGATATATAAAAAGCCTATACTAACTTAGGTATAGTTAATAAATTGATTCTTGTCTTGTGCTGTTAAGCATAATAATCTCGCTACGACAATTATTTCCATTACGGCTTATAAAAGTCCATCGTTGGACATAGGCCTCCCCCATAAATGGTCTTAGTTTGCCATAGTTGCCACGCCTTGCCGCCGCAGATTTTAGTTTATAGTATAATTTTGAGTTTTCATCAGGAAGATGCTGCCGCGATCGCGCGATTTGTAATCGAATCAAAAATCTGTCTTTTTCTTTTAAGTAAATAGTTTGAAGTTTGAACGGTCAAGTCTCAAAATGACAAATTCTCTATTGGAAGATGACGTTCTGAAACGAGAACTTCACTAGTGTATTCTTTATGGTAATCTATTTCTTGCCATAAATAATACACTACAATCGATTTTCTAACTTATTGCTTATTTTATTGTTTTTTCAAAATCTAGATTGTAAAAAGAGCTACTTTTTTGTATTCTACTCAACAAAAATATGGCCAAGTTTTTAAAGTATAAACCAATTAGTTAACTTCAGGCCCAAAAATCCCATTCTCCTTTCTTTCGCCAAATACAACAAACACACCGAGAAATGACACTACAAGATAAAATAAATGCTTTATAATATAATACACCGTGGTATTTCAGTGGCTTAGCGCTCGCTGTAAATTTCATAGTAAGCGAGCAAATTGGGTTTATCCCCGCCGATATCAATGAAATAACTGTGAATTGCCATTTTAAGTGCTGATTCACCACTTGCTCGGCGGTGAAGGAAAACATCGTGAGGAAACCTGCATGTCTGAGAAATAAGAATATTCCGAACACATGTGAAGTTCGCCAACACGCATTGGGCCAGCATGAGGGATATTTCCTTGCCGTAAAACCCTCTCAGAAATGAAAAGAGGTCTGTGTGTTGAAATAATAAAATTGTACTATACTCGACTTTACGACTGTTTTTGAGTAAAATCGAGCCTGATATCAACACACTTGTTAAAAATCATCAAATTCATCCATCTCGTTAGATTAGTTTTAAAACTAAAATTGATTACCTATCTATATGTATCGCTTCTTTTAATTTGATTATAATATATTCTTAATATTATAAAGTTGCGTTTTAATTGCTCTCACTGGTCTAGTCACAATGTTTAGTTTAGAATGTAAGTTTAAACACCAGAACCGATTAATATAGCACACCATAACTAAACTAATTAAAGTAATGAAATTGTGGTTTTTAAGTTTTAGGTGTGTATAAAAAATTGGAGGCGCTGAAAAATTATTGATTTTCAAATGGGGCTGTAAAAGAAATAAGTTTGATAATATCAGGATTAAAACAATCACCAAGGTGCGGGAATCAAAAATTTAACATTCTACTAAAGAAATATGGCTTTATTAATAGTCAGATAGATAGATGTGTTTAAATTGGAAATATAAATAATAAATAAAAAAAATTACTTGCTACTGTATGGCAATGATGGGCTTCTTGTCTAGTTCAAAAGAATCACTAAACAAAGTAATTTTTGAATTAAAAGAACATTTTAAAATTAAACAGTATGAACCAGAGAATTTTGTAGGATTATAACAAGTGGGATGCGGGAAGTAAAGACTGTGTAAGAACCTCCGAAGGAAGCGGAGTTATAGCCTAAAATAAGAATTCAAAATTCTTTGGTTTTTGGCCATTTTGACCCCCTAGGAGTGTAATGAGAATTTTTAACCCCTATTCAACCATGAGCCCCATGCCATCCTCTACTTGATAGGCTATTCAAACTGACTATGCCTAAAGTTCGAGTCACCCCCCAACTCATTTCTAGTTTTTACTTCCAACAAATAGAAAAAATGGAGACGTGTATTTTCATTCACCAATCAAAATATATTGCACGGTTATTAAATAAATTAAATATGCAAGATACTAACTGCAATAAAATTCCAGTCAACCCTCATACTACTCTGGAGATGGGAATTGAGGCTCTAGACAAGAATATTCCGTACAGAGAGGCTGTGGGGTCACATATGCACCTGGCTGTGGTAAGCAGACCTGATATCGTGTATGGAGTCAATCTGGTGAGTAGATATCTAAATTGTTATGAGTAGACTCATTGGAATCTTAAGAAAATATTAAGATACTTGAAAGGAACAAAAGACTATGGTTTATGTTATTCATGTTCAAAGAGTAACCTTGAAGCTTATAGTGATGCAGATTATGCAAAAGATACATGCACACGCACGTCTTTAACTGGATATTTATTTATGAAAAATGAAGCTGTTGTAATTTGGGCAACACAACATCAACATAGTGTAGCATTATCTACTACTGAAAGCAGAGTTCATGGCCGCATGCTCTGCGACAAAAGAAACTATATGGTTAAAGCGATTGTTAATGGACATTAATGAATTTATTCAGAACTCTCTGTGTTTAAACATTGATAATCAAAGAGCCATTTGTTAGTTAAAAATGTAGGCTACCCCACAAAAGATGTAAACATATAGATATAAGATATAACTTTATAAAAGAAAAGTATTTAGAGAAACAAATAGATCTTAATTATGTGAGCACTAAAGAACAATCAATATCATGATATATTTACTAACGCTTTATCAAAAACTCAAACATAAAAATATACATTTTAGACACGGACACAGAGCTCTGTATCGATAATTGAAGTTGATGCATGGCGCAGCACTATTCGTCTACACACATTTCACTCACATTGGTTCATTTCGTTTTTGGTCTCACCCTAATCACTCCATCGCCAATCTAAAGTATACTATATCTATGGGTGCTACAAACCACTCGAAACCTAGGGAGTTTAAAATAAGTGTCGCTCATGGGGCCCCCTTGGCACCAACGCCCTGGGCAACTACAGGGTTTACTTCCTCTATAGCCTCCACTGAGTGGAATGTATATTATATGCTGTAACTTTACATTTATCTAAATTAATTATAATAATATATTCACCGGGAATGCTCATGCGCAAGTCGTGCCATTCGCTGGCCACGTCGCCGCTCCAGTGGCCCGCAAACTTTCTCATCCACGGGAAAGTCGCGCGCGATATAATAAACGGACGAGTGCCTCGAATAGCAGCCATTGCACTGAAAAGTAATTATTATTGAATTCAACATTAAACCTTTTTGTACAAAAGAAAAATTGTACAAAATGGCTTGTTATGATATCAAAGAATACATAAATTAAAATAATCCCTGGGAATGAGGTAATGCTACCATGCTGGTTCTATTAAAATTTATTTAAAAATTGTACAAACATTATTATTGTAAAGTAGTAAATATGTTAAAAAGGCCCGCAGGTTTTCTTGCTGGTTCTTCCCAGAACAGAGGTATATTTTCCGACCCAGTGGTTAAATAAAAATTATTTTATTCTATTATATTCTAAACGTGCGACTTATCAGAAGCTTTCTTCCTCGCACAACTTCCTTGTGTAATCGGCTACCACCAGCAATTTTTTCGGACCGATACGATTTAGAGACCTTCAAAGAAAGAACCTGTTATTTTTTAAAAGGCCGGCAACGCACCTGCGATTCCCCTGGTGTTGCAGTTATTCACGGGCGGCGGTAGTCACTTACCACCATGTGAGCCGCATGCTCATTTGCCCACTTTTTTATATAAAAAAGATATTAAATTTAACTTATAATACCCTCTAAAACAGGAGTGTAGAGGCGGCGTAAGAGAATCCACTGTCCCATATCACTAGTGTCGTAAACGTCGAAAGAGAGAAATAAAACAGGAGATGGGTAGCAGCATCTTCCTGATAGCGATTCAAAATAATAAATACCTGTCGTTGCCAACACACACAAACACAAAAACCTATGATCCACTCTTACGACCTGTGCTCAGAAGTGAGCTTTTGATAGGCTACAATTATGATGAAATATTTTCTGTCAATACGGCTTATTGGTCCCTCGAGCCAGATGTTGGGTACTTACTAATACGTTGAGGCGGCTTCGAAGATAGCATGCACGTTGTGCAAGTTATAGTGCGAGCCAGCTGCATGTACTGCATCCATGCAAAGTGTTTTGTGACGAAGTCCCTCTTTGCCTATATAGTGGGGCTTGTATGGTAAGTCTTCAGGAGCGCATTGTCCGTATAAAGAGCCCGATACGAAGTTCGACGGTTCATTCATATCCTGTAAAGAATAAAACAATAATGTAGAAGACACTTATTCATTCAGTTATTTACACTTAATTGTGTTTTCTAAATAAAAAGTTACGAAGGTTTAATGAACATAGGAGTGCTCTACTCGTCAATCTAGGGCGTAGGAAAATTGATTTATTTATTCTCTTGCATATACTATTATCAAAATGATGTCTTTAAACTTAAACTATTAGTATAGTGGCTTTGGGTCAGGCCAAAATCAGTTATTGGGTTTTTCTGTCGAGAAATTCAAGTAGCAGCCCGGAGACAGGAAGTTAGTAGATGTTTTACCCCGTGCTTCGGAAAGCAAGTAAAGCCGTTGTCCCTGCGCCTAATCTTCCTCCAATCGTTTCGGGTTGCTGACTTAGGCTATGAGAGTGAGGGAATAGAGTAAACCTGTGCCTGCGCGTACTCACTTGCGCTATAAACCTGTCCTACCTACGCAGATGGCTAGACTCCGATGAGACTGGCTGCCATGCAATTCGGTCTTGAGGACATTATTATTAACAGCCCGTAATTGTTCGTTAGGTATCTTGATTTCTAATAACGGCAGTATAATTGGGAAATTAATATAATTTTAGAAGGTTCCTAGTATTTAAAATAATTGATTTATGGCCAAAACGAAACATGGGAACATGGCAGTGGTAAATATAGATTGTATCGTAAAAATCTTTAATGAAGTTTATCCCATTATCGATGGAAATAACAGAGGAATACAAAGAGTATGGATTAAACGCCGCCCGGATACTCTCTTAAAAGTGTAAACAGCATAGACATACAGAATTTTGAAAACTAATTCAGTACCTATATAAATTATGACAATAAAAGAAGACATGATAGCAATGTACATACAATCCAAACACCGTCGAACGGTATCTTCTTGTGGAAGTTTGACAGCATTTCAGTCCAGTAAGCGGATGCGTTGGGATGCGTGAAGTCAGGCCATACTGTGGAGACTCGGTTCCAAACCTGCATTTATGATTGAAGAAATTAGCAAAACACTTGTTACAAATTATAATTATTAATGACTGCAGCTCGGAGGAACCGGCTCGACTGAGAAAAGACCACGCTCTCATAGAATACCAGCGTAAAGTAGCAGTTTAATGCTGCTGTTTCGTATGAGTGTAGAGAACCAGAGACACTTTTTCAACCGACTTCAAAAAGGTGGAGGTACTCAATTCTACTGTAACTTTTCGTCCTCATAACTTTTTTCTAGGTGTACCGATTTCGATAATTCTTTTTTTTTTAAACCTATTTTTATTTTAAAGCTGGTGCTTCTCATGTGGTCCCATATAAATTTGATCAAGGTCTGATCAGTAGTTTTTGAGTTATCGTTAGTTACCGATAAAAAACTACCGGTTAAGTTTTAACAACAAAATAACGGAATCCGATCAGGATGTTGCAATGGTTTTTGAGAAATATATTACTAATATTTCGATCTTAACCACTAAGTCACTGAATTCTTCTCCTGCGTCGCCGAATCATTACGTAAACAAAATGTAAATGCATGTACAAATAATTTTTCTGGCATCACCCATAGACGCCTCTTACGACACCCACGGGACGAAATGGGATGATGGATTCTTACGCTTACCGTACGCGGCAAATAAACGCGTATTATGACATTTTATTATTGATTTCGCAGTAGTACATAATTATAGTTTGTAAGGTATTCCATCTTACTTCTCAGAATTACGCATATGTAGTCATATTTTCTTAGGTTAGGTTATAGGTGTGCCGTGTAGTGGCGGTCAAGAATATCCACTACCCCATATCCTCCCGTGGGTGTCGTAAAAGGCGACAAAGGGAAACAGCCAGGAGATGGGCAGCAGCATCTTCCTGATAATAGCCAAATTACAATAAAAAAACTGCGGTTGCCAACCCGCTCGCCAAGCGTGGCAACTATGGCAAATACCCCCCAATGATGAGAGCAACAAAAAAACGGCCCCCAGTCCCCGGCGGCCCCGCTATTCCTGGCTACGGTGGCGACCATGGTAACGGCGGGGCAGGGGGTGCTAAGAATCTCCGGTGGAGGTTCGGTTGCCACCTACGACGACTCGACCTGGCAACATACAAAGCACGCACCCTGAGGACTGACGAGAAGATCGTGGAGCTGGAAGAAGAGATAGACAAGTTGCGCTGGCATAATATAGGATTATCCGAAGTCCGAAGAGAGGGGGAGGACACGGTAATCCTCGAATCCGGCAACTTGCTCTATCACCGGGACGGCGACCATCTGTCCCAAGGAGGTGTCGGATTTATCGTCCACAAGTCTCTCGTTAACAACGTTGTAAAAATCGGGAGTGTGTCGACGAGGGTTGCGTACCTTATACTCAGAATCACCAAACGGTATTCGCTGAAGGTCATACAGGTTTACGCACCAACCTCGGCACACCCCGATGAGGAGGTGGAGGAAATGTATGAGGATATCTCTAGAGCCATGCATTCCTCCAAAACCCAATATACGGTGTTAATGGGAGACTTCAATGCAAAACTAGGCACAAGAGAGAACGGTGAGCTGAAAGTAGGGAAATTTGGAATAGGGCAACGGAACCCAAGGGGCCAGCAGCTGGCCGACTTCATGGAGAAAGAGGGACTCTTTATGATGAACTCTTTCTTCCAGAAGCGGCCCCACAGGAAGTGGACCTGGTCGAGCCCCGACGGTTCCACAAAAAATGAGATTGACTTCATTATGACGACCAGACGACAACTGTTCAGTGATGTCTCCGTGATCGCGAGGGTGAAAACTGGTAGCGATCACCGAATGGTTAGAGGCACACTGAACCTAAACGTTAAGTTGGAGAGGTCTCGTCTAATGAAGTCAACGCTCCGTCCCCCTCGTGCTCTGTTCCAAAGTCCCGAAACCTTTCAGCTCGAGTTACAAAACCGTTTTCAGTGCCTGGAAGACTGCAATGAAGTGGACGATATGAATGACAAGCTCGTGGAAACTGTCCATGCGGTTGGAGCTAAGTTCTGCAAGACCCGCCGCAGAAGAACACAAAAACTCTCCGATCACACTCTTAATCTCATGGCTGTTAGACGGGAGATGAAGCTACATTCTTCAACAGACTTGACAGCATACAGGCATCTGAACAGACAGATCTCCAAATGCATGCGGCGGGACTTACGCAACTTCAATACAGCTCGTATTGAAGAAGCGATCGAGCGGAACCAAGGCTCCAAAGTCTTTGCCAGAGATCTGTCTGCCAGAAAGAGCCAACTGTCAAAGCTGAAGACAGAATGTGGCAGCATCGTTTCCGGGACACCTGAGATTTTAAGTGAGATTGAGAGGTTCTATGGGCAGCTGTACACATCATCGTTGGAGCCACACGCAAGTGTGAGTAACGATCCAAGAGCGAGTCTCATCCGACACTATTCCGAAGATATGCCGGATGTCAGTCTGAGCGAGATTAGGATGGCTCTCCAGCACCTTAAAAACGGTAAGGCCCCAGGCGAGGATGGAATTACAGCGGAGCTTCTGAAAGCGGGTGGAAGACCGGTACTTGAAGTCCTTCAGAAGCTCTTTAATTCCGTCCTCCATGGTGGCATTACACCGGAGGCGTGGAGCAGAAGTGCGGTGGTCTTGTTCTTCAGGAAAGGTGACAACGCTCTCTTGAAGAACTACAGACCGATTTCCCTTCTGAGCCGCGTCTACGTGCTGTTTTCGAGAGTCATTACGAATCGTCTCGCGCGCAGACTTGACGACTTCCAGCCTCCCGAACAAGCCGGTTTCCGAAAGGGCTTTAGCACCATAGACCACATACATACCCTTCGGCAAGTTGTACAGAAGTCCGAAGAGTACAATTTGCCACTATGTCTGGCGTATGTGGACTATGAGAAAGCCTTTGATTCCGTCGAAATTTGGGCGGTGCTGCAGTCCCTTCAGCGGTGCCAAGTTGACTGTCGGTATATCGAAGTGTTGAAGTACTTGTACAGTAGGGCTACGATGGCTATCCGAGTACAGAACCAGAGTACGAAACCTATCCAATTGCAGAGAGGTGTAAGACAGGGTGACGTCATATCCCCGAAACTCTTCACCGCTGCATTGGAAGACGTTTTCAAGCTTCTGGACTGGAAAGGATACGGTATCAACATCAATGGCGAGTACATTACTCACCTTCGATTTGCCGACGATATAGTCCTTATGGCAGAATCGCTGGAGGACCTAAGCACTATGCTCAATGACCTCAATAGTGTTTCCCAACGGATAGGTCTTAAGATGAACATGGACAAAACTAAGATCATGTTTAATGTCCATGTCACACCTATGCCGGTAGTTGTTGGGAACACTAAGCTCGAAGTTGTTGACGAGTATGTTTACCTGGGACAAATAGTCCGACTGGGTAAGTCCAACTTCGACCGAGAGGTCAATCGAAGGATTCAACTCGGCTGGGCAGCGTTCGGGAAGCTACGACACATCTTCTCGTCAGACATACCTCAAAACCTTAAAACGAAATTGTACAACCAGTGCGTGTTGCCAGTGATGACTTACGGAACTGAGACGTGGTCCTTCACTGCTGGCCGTATGAGGAAGCTCAAGGTCGCTCAGCGAGCTATGGAGAGGGCTATGCTCGGAGTTTCTCTGCGTGATAAACTTAGGAATGAGGATATCCGCAGTAGAACCAGAGTGACCGACATAGCCCAACGGATTAGTAAGCTGAAGTGGCAGTGGGCCGGCCATATAGCTCGAAGAACCGACAACCGATGGGGAAGAAAGGTTTTCGAGTGGCAGCCTCGTACCGGCAGGCGAAGTGTAGGGCGTCCCCCCACGAGATGGAGTGACGACCTGGTAAGACATGCAGGAAGTCGATGGATGCAGGTGGCTCAGGACCGTGTTTTGTGGCATTCTTTGGGGGAGGCCTATGTTCAGCAGTGGACTTGTGAAGGGCTGTAATGATGATGATGATGATGATGATAGGTTCTCATTATAAGTGTACTGTAAGTTCGTTTATCACTTGTTTTATAAAAAAACTGCGTGTAAATAAATCTGGCATTAATTTGTTACGATAATAAAGTATTCATTAATTTATATATTCATTACACATGGCCTATGACTAATGACAGAGTGTAAAATTGTGTGACCTGGTTTAGTCATATAGAAAGAATGTACGAGGAAAGAGTGACAAAGCAAATCTATGTTGCAAAAGTGTACGGCAGAGTCGGGAAGGGACATCCTAGAGTCTAGGGCCTAAACCCTAGACGAAAGTTTTTCGGCCAAATTGGCAATTTATTGACCCGTAACCGACGAGCATGTAGGCGTAGGTATATGGACATAAAGGAGGCGATTGAGGTGTGTCAGGATCGTGCCAAATGGAAGTCCGTAGTCTCCACCTCCCGTATGAGTAACAGCGGTGAGTGTTTATGTGTATGTATGTATAATATAAAGGAAATTCTTATAAAGTAATAATTAACTAAATGTGGCCAACTTTTATATTTAATGGAGACAATGAAAAAGCTGTAAAAGATTTAAGTCGATAGATAATAAATTAATAAATGAATTTTCATTCATTCATTTATTAAACTATCAAAATCTATAACTGAAAAAATTTTGTAATACCGTCTTCAATATAAATTATTAAGCATAACTCAAAAACTATTAGTCAGACCTTGATCAAGTTTATATGGGACCACATGTGAAGCACCAGCTTTTAAGTAAAAAAAGAATAACCGAAATCGGTTCACCCAGAAAAAAGTTATGAGTAACACAAATAAAAAAAACATACAGTCGAATTGAGTACTGTCTCCTTTTTGAAGTCGGTAGAAAATAGGGTGTCACCTCACCTTCCCCACAAATGGCTGCCCAGTTGAGTTCTTAATAAAAACATCCATTTCCAGACCGCGATCGAATGGTGGATAGGTTCCAGGTTTCTCAGCGGCACTCACTCCAGGATCTGAGCAACAAAACAGTCAAATATTACTTTTGATATAATTCTACAACAAAAAGTTAAATTTACAGCCTATATACGTCCCACGGCTGGGCACAGGCCTCCTCTCACTTCTGAGAGGGTTTTAGGGCAGGGAAATATCCGTCACGCTGTCCCAATGCGTGTTGGCGAACTTCACATGTCTTCGAAATAATTTTTCGTATTTATCAGACATGCAGATTTCATCACGATGTTTTACTTCACCGCCGAGCACGTGGTAAATCAGCACTTAAAATTGCAAATAACAATGAATCCGGGTTGCTCGCGTACTGTGAAATTTACAGCGTGCCCTTAACACTTGAGCTACCACTGCTCATTTATGTATTATACAACAATATTTTAATTAAAACTAGATATAGCACTTCAGTTTTATAAATTAGATCAATCTTTGTTTCTTATTTTTGTGACATTGTAGCCCTTGGACTCTCGCAACTAACTTGAAACAAAGAAGGTTAGAGATGCATCGTCACATGTGAGGAGTATGTCAGTATGCATGCATACTTTTGTTCAATAGCTTTTTACGCCCTAAGACAGTGCAATTCACCTATCTAAGGTTTTATCGCCACTTGCTACTGATATAACGCCTCAGACTGTAGTTCCACTGGCTCTCCAAACTTTTGTTCAATAGCTAATGTTACACTCTAAGATAGTTCAATTTATCCCTCTAAGGTTTAATTACCACTAATTCCCACGTGAAATTGTATTTGCTAGCTAGTGGTTGAACACAATTTCACTTGTAAAACCATAAAAAAAATTACCCAGATAGACTTTTAGACAGAAAAGGAACTTAACCGCCTACACCTACTTATACTAGAAAATTCCGTTAGGTATTTATTTAAAAATTACCCATCAAAACGACATAGTGCATCCCGACTCCGTGCAGTTCCTTCACGAACCGGGGCAGATCCTTGAACTTGACATTATCATATGTAAAATCGTTGCCGTCCTTCATGTAGTCTAGGTCATTCCACTGCACGTCCTGTGGGAAGTTTCGGTATATAATTATTATTATATATATTATATAATAGACATAAACAACTAGATCGCAGCCGACAAGCGCCAGCATGACTCGAGTAATTTTTCCTTCTTTTTGAATTTTTGGAATTGGTCCAAAGCATTTGAGTCCTTACAAAAATGGTAAAGTTGCCACGTTTCACGGTATTCGAAAAAAAATATCATTAAGAATAAAATAATGAACAACACTAAATTAAGCAGTAAATTCCATTCGCGCAACGGAGTTGACACACACTATTTTTTTAATAAAAAAATAATGAGTCATATATTTTACTCGTAGTTGCAGATACCATGTACTGGCAACCCAAGAGAATACACCCCCATAACATCCCGTGGGTGTCGTAAGAGACGGCAACAGTGGAAACTGAAATAGGAGATGGGCAGCACTATCTTACTAATGACAACTTCCAAATATACAGAACTGCGGCTGCCAACCCGCCTGCCAAACGCAGGAGGCCTAGGAGTTCTTTGATAAGCTATAATTATATTGACGATGAATGAGATAATGTGAAAAATGTGAGACTCTACGTGGTAGATCCATGCTGCAGCTATTATGATTGCAGCACGAATGGGACGGCTTGACTGGGGTAACACCAAGCTCTAGCCGAATACCAGCATAAAATAGCAGCTTAATTCTGCTTCGTATGGTAAGTGTAAAGAACCATACACTCTTTTTACTGATAACGAGGTTTTCCATCTTAGGGCTCAGGGACGACAATGCACCTACATTTTATTCTTAATCGAGGATAGATGTAGATGTGTAGATGATATAAGCCACAGCATCCACTTACCATCAGGTGGAATGTGTGCTGGTTTTGCACCTGTATACAAATGTATTCAGTTATGCGTCCTTTATTCAGACAATAGTGAACAGGCATTTTAACTTACTAATGGTATCCCCGCATCTCGGTTGCTCTTCCATACATCACGTGTGACTTGCAGGCTTCCATAATTGTATCTGGAAATAAGAAATTACCCTTTTTAGTTTCTGTTTATCATAATAATAATAATTTACTTGAAAGTCTGGTTACATCTCATAGTATAAAAAGTTTCACACACTTAACTCCTTTTGGGGCATGAAAATATTTACAAGTTTTTATAACAATGAAAATATTATTAAATACAGTACATAGTCAATTAAATTTCCATTAATTTATGTAATGTATTTAATTTGAATACTGAATTTACATTCTCAGTTAAATATGGCTAATAATATCAAATACTTACAATGGTCATTTTAATCTCTGTCAACATAAATTTAAAATACTTCATAAAATCTTACTAGGTCGTCACTTAATCTATTGGGGGGCCACCCTACTTCGCTTGCCGGTACGAGGTTGTCACTCGAAAACTTTTCTTCCCCATCGGTTGTCTGTTCTTCGAAATGTATAGCCGGTCCATTGCCACTTCAGCTTACTAATCCGTAATATGCAGGAAATCGAAGGATGCAGGTGGCTCATGGCCATGCTTATGGCATACCTTGGGGTAGGCCTATGTTCAGCAGTGGACCTGTGAAGGGCTGTAATAATAATGATGATGATGACGCGATTAAAAATTGTCTAATTATATTAAATGCTGTAATGATATTAATGCGAGAGAGGCGTTTGCTTATTCTACAGTTGCTTTAAATCAAGGCAAATATCACATCCACGACTTTTTCTACCACTAGGGCGGCGACTCTTAGGAATGAGGTGAATATTTTATAGATTTCATTGCGGAGGAATTTAATTAATTAGAAAAGTGTAAAGATAATGTTTCTTTCTGAAATATTAGCTATATTTTATATTAATATTATTAGAAATGGATAAATCACACCATGGATATTTCTAGAAATAAAAGAATTTAAAAAAAATAAGCGAAAAATGTATAAAAATTAAAGAATACAGGCATTGTTTTATGTATATACATACACTAGAAACCTAAAAACTTTTATTTAAAAAGAAATTTTTCAATGATGATAACACTGTGACCGTCTGCGTAACAAATAAATCCACCTCAGTCCCAACTAGCGACATCTGGCGAGCGCAAGATTATTAGCTCTCATTAAAAAATAACTTACTTGCACAAGTGGAAGCCCAGCGCCCAATATGGCGGCATGAAAGGCGTGCTAAGTACGTTGGCCAACTGCGATGTGACGTCACTCGGGGACGGGCCAAGGAACATGTAAAACTTTAGGATCCCACCGATAGTCCGGTATGTTATCCCCGGCGTTGGTTGGAGGACTATGTCTGAAATATTAGAGAAACATGCAAATTCAACAACATTATTAGTAACCATAGAGAACACGGAGAGTTCTAAGTAAATTATTATTCTACTGTAGTGATCTGATTTTTTCAAAGAATAAAGGTTGACGCAAACAAACACGCATTCCATCTGATGGTAAGTGAATATTTTGGCTTATAGACATCTGCATCTATCCTTAATTAGGAATTAAATTAGTTATCAGTCCTGATGGCGAAGATAGCATGTATCTTTATCATCTATAAAAATATATATCAGGATTTCGACCTGGACACAGTACTACCACAGCATTGGTGAACATCACCGATGATATCCGATTAGGAATGGAAAACTGTGAAGTGACTGTTCTTTGTTTATTAGATTTCAGTAACGCTTTTAATACCGTTGACCATGATGTCCTACTCGGCATAATGCGCTCTCTTAACGTATCTCCAACAGCGATTGGTTGGTTTCAGAGTTAACTGTCTGGTCGCCAGCAACGTATACATTATCATCTTGGTGTAACGTACGTGTTGGTGTACCGCAGGGAGGCGTTTTATCTCCTTTACTTTTTGCAGTTTTTATAAACTCAATATCCAATAATTAAACTTCTTCCTACCACCTTTATGCAGATGATCTACAAATATATACAAAAGCTTGTCCCAACGATCTCCCCAATGCTATCAATGTCGTTAATGCAGATCTCGATCGAATTCTTGAGTGGAGTAATGCATACGGCATTCACGTTAACCCAGCAAAATCGCAAGCCAATATCATGGGCAGCGCGCAAATGTTGGCTAAGTCGAGCCTAGATTACCTGCCTCTAGTATTTGGTAAAACTATTATTCCTTACGCAGACTCAGTAAAGAACTTAGGTATCCACATAGATAAGAATCTGTCGTGGGGCAGCACACGATTTCTTCGCATTTCCACCAAAACTATGCTTGCCAAGTCCCTTCTCTTCCCTATTTTTGACTACGCAGACGTCAGCTATCTAGATCTCACCGAAGCTCACATCGATAAAGTTGAGCGAATTCAGAATTTTTGCATAAGGTTTATATTTGGATTGCGCAAATATGACCATGTATCTCTTTTTCGTACTAAGCTCAAGTGGTTGCCAATACGACTTCATCGGAATGCTCACATACTTCATCTTCTCTATAGTGTTCTCTTTAATCCTTCTTACCTCAAAAATCGTTTTGAGTTTCTTCATTATTCCCATTCGCGTAACTTGAGATCAGCAGAGACTTTGAAGTTGAATTTGCCACTATACACTAGAAAATTTATGAACAAGTTTTTTACTGTACAGGCCGTTCATTTATGGAATGAACTCCCATTGTCAGTAAAACTCGCACCATCCCTACCGGTATTTAAAAAACTAGTTAAGAATCACTACCTCGCACTTTAAATTCTAACTTCACTTGACCACTGACCTTACCTTTACATCATTCAAATAATGACGATATATCCATATTTATCACGCGATATATATCAATTCTGTTTAAAAATATAGATTCGGTATATATCGATATATTTTTTCCCTTTGCCCATCCCTAGTATGTATATGTGTTCATTCTTTTTTATCTCTTTTTTTCTCTAACACACCAATTTGCCCTGCCCTTGTCATATTCGTGCAATCCTGTCCATTCATTGGTTGTCTGGAAGAAATTGCTATCAGCAATAAGACCGCCCATTGCATACTTCTTATATATATATATATATATATAATTTCTGTAATTTATGTATGGTGTGCAATAAAGAATATTAAATAAATAAATAAATATCTGGTTATCATCACTCACTATATGTTTCTACACTAATTATATGAAACACATTGTATTAAGGTGTTATTTTATGCTGGTATTCTGTGAGAGTGTGGTTCTTCCCCGGTTGAGCCGATAGTTTTGTGTTCCCTTCTATACCCTTCAGACTGGGGCGAAACAGAGCAAGCACTGCTATTATAAACATAATAAGCCACAGCCGCTCTATGTTTATTAAAGTTATATAATTTTTCTTCATTTCTATTATGAAATCAAAGTGACACATTCTTAAAAAATGCGCATTGCAAGCAAAACTATTAATATTAATAAAAATCATTATATTTTATAAGAATTAGTATTATTGCTATAAAATATAGCTTATGCAACTACCGGAGATAATGGTAAATCTAAGAGCAAATCGTTCTTCAAAACGAGCCGTTTGGGTCATTGAGGACCATACATACTCTTACTTTAAAATCGAGTTGTTTTGGTCTGTGAGTACGACATATACATACGCACATAATATATTATCATACATACATATACGCTAAAACTCTCTCTCTCTGTGGCTGTCATGCAAAAAGTTTTACACTAACATTTCCAATACTAACCAATTGCATTAGAGTTGATAAGCAGCATTCCATGGGATTTACCGCTTGGCTCCAATGCCATATAAAACGGTTGGGTGCCATACAGGTTGATCTAGAATATGATTGAAAAGCTTAAGTCACATTTAATTTTTTGTCATTGTCTAACCGCTAAAGTCCATTGCTGGATATATCCCCATTATTGACTCACAAGGGGAAACCTATGTTCAGCAGTGGACTGGCTGTATGGGATGGATGGCTTGAAGTTGTTGTGATGAGTCGGATTCCTAGACGTAATAACTATATTATATTTATAAATATATTCGGATTTAGGGAATATGCGTGCATGAGTGTGTGCATGAGCGTGTGTAATCACAAATCATGAATAACACAGAGAGTGTGTAATCTGTTTTCAGACTTCAATACAATTGCAAATTGTTTTTATTTCACAATTTAAAGAATCAGTATATATGTCTGATAAGACTGGCGGTTATCGTAAGCATTCCTTACTATAATAAAAGATAGATTTCTTTCCCCAACAGTGTACTAATTATTGGTTTTGTTGTTAAAACATATTTGTCCCACAATGATAAAATCAAACTTACATTCTCCATTGGTGGCTGGTCATAATTAAACAGTGTAAATGTCTGCCGGGTTTTAAGGTCCGTTTTAAATCTGGTTCGTCTCTCCCCCAGGCCATACAGCGTGTCCGTTGGCAATACTGCAGACAGTTGCAGGAACTTATCGGAAAGAATCAGTCCGCCTATGTTCTGAGTGTTGAACCTGGAAAACGTACAAAATGTTTGATTTTTTTTATAAAAGAGAAAGGAAGGGAGCAAGTGGTACACAAGCGTTAAACTCATACGAATGGGGATGGCAGACAAGTGTGGAACTACAATGGTAAATGAAATTGAATTATAGATGTGTTGCCGAACTCAAAACGCTGACCACAGTAAATTTCATGACGTGGGAGCATAATAATGATGTATTTTATATAATAAATGTCGTGAGATGGGTGTTTTATTTCACCTCCATTGTTCTTATTCTTCATCATCCACTACTAGTGATAGGCATCTCCTGTTGTAGAGGAATTGCCTCACTCGGTACGCTTGGCAGGAGGAATAGACATTCGCAGTAGCGGGCGTAAGCACGTATTTTACGCCTGGTGTAAACGAGATTGGTTATAATGCCATCTATCGGGAAACATAAGATTTTTTTTGACATAATACAGATGATAATACAGAGTGGATTCTAACTTGCTTGTAAGGTTTATTGAACTACATGTTTTATGAGTTCCATAAGCCGACAAGACAGAAGTTTAGACTCTGTATTAAGTTTTGCATAGATTTCGTTCAGTTTTTACTAACCTAGCACGTAAGAAAAATTGTACCAATACTAACATATATGGACCTGAGTGTGAAAATAAATGATTAATAATAATAATACTCTCACGAAATGAAATGGGTCGATGAATTCTCTTGGGCCGCCCCAACATGGTTAATAAGACTGTTTTTTAGTCTTGGATTACCCAAAAGAATTGATTTTACTATTGATAAAATTGTAATTAGTCTATGGAAATCATTGCAGTTTGACGTGTTCTGATTATTTTTTTATAGAAGAGGGGGCAAACGAGCATGCGGCTCACCTGATGGTATGAGTAAAGACACCATGAACATGTGCAACACCAGGGGAATTGCAGGTGCGTTGCTGGCTTTTTAGTGTCGACCGCCGCCCATGAACATACGCAACTCCAGGGGAATCGCAGGTGCGTTAGCGGCATTTAAAAAAGAGTAGGCTCTTTTATTAAAGGATGGTTTGCGAGTTTTGATCGACGGCTGAGGTACTGACAACCGACATGATCAGGAAAAATCTATCCAGAAACGCTGACCCAAATTCATACTTTTTATGGTAGTATGGGTGACAAAACCGTGCAGTGGCAGAATATCCACTACCTCATATGAGGTATCATTAGAGGCGACAGAGGGAAACTGTAACCGGAGGTGCACAGGTGTCTACGTGGTAGAGCCATGCTGCAGCTATATTATGGTTGTAGCACGAATAGGTCGGCTCGAACGGGGAAGGACCACGCTCTCACAGAAAACCAGCGTAAAATAGCAGCTTAACGCTGCTGTGTTTCGAATGGTGAGTGTAGAGAACTGGAGACTCTTTTTACTGGCAAAGAAGCATTCCATCTTAGTCCTCACGGGTGACAACGCATCTGCATCTTGAGTCTTTATTGAGGATAGATGTAGATGTCTATGGGTCACAGTAACCACTTACCATCAGGTGGACTGTGTGCTCGTTTGTCACCCGATCCTATATAAAAAAAGCTGTATCTTTCTTTTAAAGCTCAAATATGATACTTTTTCATTTTCAATTCATAGATAATGTAGAATTATGTCGACTTACAAAGTAACATTGTCAGAGAGTCGGACCACTTTGAAGCCAATACTGGAGCTATCCACAATCACCTTATAGGTCATCTTTTTCAGAGAACCATATCCCATGGGGAGCTCAGGGTATGATGGCTCAAATCTTTTGTTTTGAGCGTCGGTTATCTGGGAATAGAATGTTTATTTCTATAGTTGAGAAATTATATCCAGATTATATACAGAAATATATAGGCCAAATTTACTCACTTTAATTTGAATGATATCGCCACTGACAAACATTATGTCGAGACAGACTTGCTGGAAATCGCCCGGATATCCGGAGGGTCGGTTGAGTGTGTAGTAGGCGGTGATACCGCGCTTCCTCTCCGTCATGTTGAGAAACGTGTACGAGTCGTATTGAGGCGGGTAGAAGCAGTATGGCGCACCTGGCACCGATGTCAACTTCCAACAGCAACCTACACATTATTCATTTCTAAATGCTATTATAACGTTAGCGGTTAATTAAATTGCTAATTATATAAATCCAATTAATTGTCATAAATAATTTTAATACCATGGAAATATATTATAACAAATGAAAATAAAAATAATAAAATATTTAAAAATAAGAGAACAATATTTATCCTACGTATGTAGAATTTGACATGCAAAAGGTTATATTAATCAATGAAGTATTTGCTAAGATTTTGATTATTTTTACGTGGTAGAGCCATGCTGCAGCTATATTGTAGTTGCACATATAGCACGAATGGGTCGGCTCGACCGGGAAAGGGCCACTGTCACAAAATAGCAGCTTAATGCTGCTGTGTTTCGAATGGTGAGTGCAGAGAACCGGAGACCCTTTTCACTGTAAACGAGACATTCCTTCTTAGTCCACAGGGGTGACAAAGCATCTACATTTTGATTCTTGATCAAGGATACTCACCCTTATCCTATAAAAAATAAGACAGAAGGCCCTCATTATCAATGATACTTACCTCTTTTCAAGCAGTCTTCTTCATTGGACCCATCTTGTGGGAAGCAGTCGAAACGCATATTATCATCTGTCACTTGTGCACACATTTTTTGTAGCATCTCGGGAGTTCTTTCCAAATATTTGGCACCGGTGTCATGGTCATCTTTAGTCGGAACTTGGATGGGTTTTGGCCTCATCTGGCGCTGATATTTCTCATCCGAATCGAATGTCGCCTTTTTAGCGGTTTCGGAGCCGTTCACTTTGTTCTTTGTACTTAGGTTGTTGTGGTCGTGGTAATGGATTTCAGGAACAATCTGGAAATATATGTAATATAGATTTTACTAAACTCTTAGGTCAGTATTCAGAGACAATTACGAGCTTAAATTTAAACTTTATAATGTCAAAACTTGAGTCTAGAACATAATCACCTTATTACAAAATGTAGTTAATATTTTTAGTCTCAGACTTAAACTAGAATTTGCTTCACGAAAGAAGTCTCGCTCGAAATATGCGAACTAGGCGAAGGACTTCTTTAGTAAGAAGGATTATACTTAAACTATTAAGTTTTAGGATTCTAAGAACGTTCTAGTTTACTGTCATGTATGCATTATTACTTTCAATGTTTTTTACAGCGCAGTAAGTAAGCAGCAGCAAGCAATAGCCTATCTACGTAGGTATGTAAATTATAATTTTAACAATGTACACAAACATTGGTGATTCTTAAATAAAAATAATAAATATAATATGTACATAGTTAAAGCCCGAGACTATCAATTAACCATTTCTTGTAAAGACAGAATATGTTTACATTTTGTCATTGATATTTTTTATCTGTAGAAAATAATTAACATTGGGGTATATCAAAAATTTTATAACGATTATTGCGAATTATCATAAACAAACATTTAAAATTAAAGTTTAATTAAAGTTATAGCCTAAATACGTCCCACACATGGCTGTGTCCCATATTTCTGAGAGGGGTTTTAGGGCGCAAAGAAGTGACCGTCGTGTTGACGAACTCCACATATGTTTTCGACATATTTGTATTTATTTCTCAGACATGTAGGTTTCTCTAAGATGTTTTACATTATTTATATTCATTATATATAATAACATTTATTTATATATTTAATTAGTTAGTTGAAAAGAAATAATGCTGTTTGATTTTTACATCGTCACCAAGGGAAAAGTTTACCTGCAGGACCATTAGCATTTGAATATCATATATTATGTAAATTACAAATAAGTATACTGAAATCAAATACAACATACCATTTCGTAATAGGTCATCGGTTTCTCAGTGTTCTCTGGGTGAACACGCTCCCACAATTTCCTGAGGAGTAAATTCGTGATGAATTTAATATGCAAGCATTTTATTATACAGACCGCAAATGATCTGTCTGCTCCATAATACCTTACTTAAGATTTTATTTCCTCTTTCAGAAACATTAAGGAGAAAATTTTTTTAAGTTTAAATTTATTGATGTATTTGTCCAGTATATCCCGAGTCCTGATTATGGTTAAGTAAAAAAAAGTAAAGACAAAGTATATCTGTAGTTCTTTGAAGTACATTTTGAGTTTTAGAGTGGACTAAGCAAAATCACAACTTCGAGTTAACCAGCTCGAATGGAACATTAAAAATTTCATCAGGTGATAGGACTCCTCTTCTACCCATACATGAGACTGTTATTTGGCAGCACAAATAGGTAAACGGATGCTGTGTTCAAGAGTCCACTACTGAACATAGGTCACCCATAGACTACATCATAGGGGGGATATTTGCCATAGTTGCCACGTTTAACCAACTTGTTGGGTTGCCAACTTTTTTTTTTTGAGTCTTTACCTGGAAAATGCCAACTCCTGTTTTATTTCCATTCGCGCCCCTTACGACACCCACGGGATGATATGGAATAGCAAATAGTCTTATGCTGCCACTACATGGCGATAGGGAAACAGTTAATATAATTACAGACTAAGGTATTCTACCATAGTCCACAGGGATAACAACGTATATGCCTTCATTGTTTAAAGCTGGCTGCAGGTGTCCATGGACTACATTGGCCACTTACCATCAGGTGAACTGTATATTCGTTTTTCATTTCAGTTTTATAAAAAAATACTTGGAATGGTCTCATACCTATACCTCACATAGCAAAGGTGAGATATTTAATAAGAAAACATCATTAAAATTGAACCCACATTTGGCGACGATTTATAGATTATAGATAAAAATCATAAAAATAGTACACATATACTAACCTCAAATATTTTGTACCACATCTTTTTTAACCGACTTCAAAAAGGAGGAGGTTCTCAATTCGGCTGTATGTTTTTATTGTTTGTATGTTAAGCGATATCTTCGCAGATTGAGAACCAATTTTGATAATTCTTGTTTTATTAAATAGGTTATACTTCAAGCATGGTCACATATAAATTTGGAGAGTAAATTCTACCCTTATGGGTGGCAAATAAATAACTTCTTTCTTAACAATTTGAAGTCGATTTTTACTTTTTGTTAGTTATAATTATAGAAGTTCGTTTAAAACATACGATGCTAGTGTTACGAGTTCTTGTCTTACCGATACTTATCCTCGGTCCACGCGCCGCCAAGAGCTCCACCCACAACCAGCCACACAGCGACGCACAGCACACAAACGAGCCCTACGCCCAGCATCCCGGGGCAGATGCTTTTAATTTGCTCCCAGAAACGTTGTAGAGAGCTTCGACGCTGCGAGAAGCGTTGATATCTAAAACGCGTTAACAATATTTTATAGTTGATATAGCAATATAATGTTAAGATTGCAATTTTAATGTTGCAATATTGTGCATTCTTAAAGGGGTCCTACATCCATATGTTGATTTATTCAAAAAAGAAAAATTGCGGGTTAGATTTAGAATCATTTGGCAGGAATTTGGAGGAGTAAGGTGTTGTATTAGGTAGACGTTTGGTTCCCAATTAATACCACTTGAATTAAAAGGTAATACACCGTTTTCAAAAAAATAAAACATGGAAAAACGAATGCAATATGACTGTGAACGCTGAATAGCATACATTATTTTGTGTAAGTGCGACAAGGACATAAGACCATGTCAAAGACTAGTGTCACATTATTATAATTCTATGGTATTTTTATTCTTTGGTGGTCTATCTATGCTCTCATAATAAATCTATACAAATAAATAAAATTGAAGTGTCTGTTTGTAATGTCAAAATTACAGCTTTTTATTAAATGCATATGCAAGTAACTACGGTACCTACTAATAACAAAAATACAATTTTTAAAGTTTTTGTCTGTCTGTCTGTTTGTTCCGGCTAATCTCCGAAACGGCTGGACCGATTTTGACGGGATTTTCACTGACAGATAGCTGATGTCACAAGGAGTAACTTAAGCTACATTTATTTTAGAAAAAAAGAATTAGGGTTCCGTACAAAAAACTAAACCCCAAATAACACGCGGGCGAAGTCGCGGGGAACAGCTAGTTATATAAATAAATCACGAACTTTTCATATGATTATGTCTCTGATATATCTATAATAATCTATGACTATGTGACCATCTAATACTTTTATCTACAAGACCGGCAATTCACAACAACAACTGTGTCACAGCTGTGAATCGCGCGGGCACTGGCTGGTTGGGTAGCTGGCACAGTAAATATGCCACGCAGTTGTATTTTCTGTTTTTAGACAAATCTATACAAATAAATAAAATTGAAGTGTCTGTTTGTAATGTCAAAATTACAGCTTAGTACTAATAACAAAAATACAATTTTTAAAGTTTTTGTCTGTCTGTCTTGTCTGTCCATCTGTCTGTCTGTTTGTTCTAGCTAATCTCCGAAACGGCTGGACCGATTTGGACGGGATTTTCACCGGCAGATAGCTGATGTCACAAGGAGTAACTTAGGCTACTTTTATTTTAGAAAAAGAATTAGGGTTCCGAGCAAAAAAATTAAAACACCAAATAACACGCGGGCGAAGTCGCGGGGAACAACTAGTACGAAATAAAGTTAGATACTTATGATTTCTTATATTTACGCGAACACTACACATTTAAATAAAACTAATTTTACGGATTTTATCGCGTATATTAACTTATTTTATATTCCCGACGTTTCGGGTGCTTTCCAGCACCCGCTGTCCCCCGTGACCATGCGGTTTCGTTCAGTCGTAATACTCGTTTCTAGTAGGGGAGCCCGCTTTAATTTTTAATATATTTTTATTTTTATTATTTGTTGTTATAGCGGCAACAGAAAATTTCAACTGTCTACCTATTACGGATCATGAGATATCCCGCTGACAGAATGACGGACGGACGGACAGCGTAGAGTTGGTTACCCTGCGGGTATGGAACCCTAAAAAGTGTTAAGATTGTCGAAAGCAACGTTTGTAGTTTACAAAACAAATAACTAGTCTTCCCGTCCGCTCGCAGTCGACTAAAGGAGTTACGAAAATTTTACCGTAACTTAGTGTACTACTACTGTAGAGCCCGTCCAGTGGTATCTGTAGATGTCTCTGACCGATTATAATAATATAATAAAATATGGTAGACATGAACTGCGCAAAAACTTGCAATCTAAAACATATGAGAATAGACAAAAAATATGATTTGGATAAAATTCCTATATTTAGATAATGTTTACTTTCCAAGTTAATCCAATATGTCATCCTCGTTAATATTTAAAAATCTTTGTCGTTGTTTTTAATAATAACTTTTAATTTTTAGTTTCGAATTTCATATAACATTAAAATTAAAAGATAAAGTATCACCTTAATAGAGAAACTTTTAAAGTTTACTTACAGAAATTTAGATTATAATCTTACCTGGTAACAGAATGATCTAACATATTGCATTTATCGTCACTCTCTTTTTAAATCCGACACAAACGAAAACTACTTAGTAAATGAGCATTGAATAATATTGATAAAGAAGTATATTATTACAACAATTAGTCACTTTTAGAATAAAAAACTTTATTGAATAATTAATATTTAATTTTAGCCTCGAGCACAGGCGCAGAGTAGACGACAGCCTCTCGGTATTTTCGGTATTTTAATTTCTCCCTCCCCTTTCCACCGTCGGACAACCAGGTGGCCGGCGGGTCTTAACCACTGTGTGGTCCATATCGTCGCATTCGAGACATAAATCGGGACATAAAGTTACAATAACATATACTTATACATTTATATTTACACTCAATGCAAATTCTCTGGTGACGATAAGGAAATTATGTTACTTGTGTACTTTAAAATCCATGACGACGATATTCTTTATGCCAATAATTATATTTACAATTCAAACCAAGATTTTTCCGGCATTTTCATTAATAATAATAATAATAATAATCGTTTATTTCCAATCACAATGGTACATTAAATAGAACATGCTTAGTTTATTTTGTAATTTCTATGAAATACTTATTTCAACATTTGACCATTGTGAGAGAGCGGAACCTGTACTAGGATACCCTGTGTGTGTGTACAGTGTTCCAACCCCCACACTCTCGTATATTACTCATATATTGCCTAGTACCATAATTTAGTTAAAGTAGGTAAAAGTAGATAAAGAATGTGTGTGTGCGTGTGAGTGTGTGCGCGCGCGCGCGCGCGTGTGTGTGTGTGTGCGTGCGTGTGTGTGTAAAATTTTAACTGTAGGAATTTCGTCTCTTTACAAGTGTAGCGTGGTTTAGAGTAAATATTCACAGCCTGATTAATTTTATTAATCAGGTTGTGAATATTTAGACGACATTAGACGTCATGATAAGAAATGTAGAAAGTTTTTTATACGACATACCACACGGTAAAAGCAAATGCTTACGCCATGAGGATAGAGGATATAGTGCTAGGTTATTCACTATCATATAGCGAATGGTTTGTGAGCGAGTAGTTTATTTCTCAGTAATTTATAATTTCGACCTAGGGAGTCTTACTAGACTTCGTATATTTGATACTAGCTGTGCCCCGCGGTTTCACCCGCGTATAATTTAAGAAATCACTGATTGATTTATAATACTTCAGTTTAGACAATATTTTAGTAACATTTTCATGTACTAAAATATATTAGTTCTGCCGGTTCTCATCGGGCGGCTAACGTTATACGTCGTTCGCGCGCCGAACCGAGTGTTGAATTATTTTAAATTTACATAACATTATCTCTTAAACTATGCGTCCAAATAACATGCTATAAAATAGCAATGGTTATCTTCATAAAATTGTCATGATGATGAAGTAACATTCGTTCATAAGGATTAATATGCTATGCCTAATAATAACGCTCATAAATCCCTTTTTATTTTTCAATAATTTTTTGCCAAAATAAGGTATTTTTATCTTATTGTGGCTTATGTATGAGAAATAGGCATATGGGTATCGCGTACTTTTTTTAGATGGAGTAAAGATCAATATTTTTGTAGAACATTGTATTTACGTATCACTAACCATTACGCCAGCGCACGCGTATGCAGCAGTTCGGGAGTGCTTTTTCTTCCCGCTTGACAAAATTTTTAATTTAAAGCTAGCTGTGAAACGTAGCCTATAATGCTAGACAGCCTATTAACTACAATGTGGCTATCGTACACATTTTTTTTTCAATTGGACTGGTAGTTCCAAAGACTAGGGTGTATAAACAAACAAAACAAATAAAACTCATCCGCTTTACAACCATGATATATCATATAAAAAATATTATATTAATTAGAATAAGAATTATTAAATAAATAATTATAGATAATTTAAGACGCTAATAGTTTTAAAAAACTCATGCAAGTTCACTGATGAACATATGCCTCTCCTTGGTGGACGAGTTAGCAAAATAAGCTTATTTATTATTACTGAATTTTTATCAGAAAGACTCTGCTGCTGCTGCCCATCTCGTTTCATTTTCCCATTGTCGCCTCTTAATCGATTCTTTTACGCCGTCATTACACGAATATAGGTACATATACATGAATATATCGACACAGTTGTGTATTAAAAGAAATTATACATAAATAAGGAAGCGCAATATCACATAGAAAACGAGATTGTAGACAAAGAAAGCCTTGAGGTTAAGAAGCGATATAGCTTTTGAAATATTTACCAACTCGCAGCTAATTCACTTACACCTGGCAAAAATGTAGAGTCACAAAACAGGACACTGTGAAATGTAAACACAAAATGACCTATCTACCTACTGCTAACAGCCTACATTTAATTTAAATTGTGTTTAACAGCCACAACAACAAAAATATAGTAAGTAAACAAATTAAAGGTCACGATACTTTGATATGTGACAAAGACAAAGAAATCTGTTGTACATGGCCTCCATTCAGTATGTACTTAAGAGTTAAAAATATAAATTAGTAAACAATATGTATGACATGATTAATCATGGTCAATTATTATTAAAGACTGGCGACCTATCCTGGCTTCGCCTGGATAGTATCTATAAATGTGACATTATTTTGATGTAAGATAATCAGATCATTTATTTTATAAATTTTTAGTCTTTCAAAAAAAGCTACTCGTAATTCTGGTTTTGCTTTCTATCTGTTAGTAAAGTTTCATATCATATCCTATCAAATTTGGTTCCGACTAACATCTGTACAAGCAAATTCGTTTGGCGACACCTTTGTGACTAAGTGCAAACACACAGAAACCGTCTTCTATGGAAAGACTGACAGAAATGTCACAAAACCTTCTAGTTTGATTCTCGGTACTGACAGTATTAAAATTGTTAATTGTTAACTGACTATTCTAGTGGCGTTTACA